GAAAGAACTACTCAGATTCGAAGTGAACCAGGAAACAAAAAACAGACATAAATATTAGAGAGAGAGAGAGAGAGGAAGCCAGGAAGAAAGAGGGAAGGAAAAGAAAGGGTCTTTTGAGAGAGAGGAGGAGAGAGAGATGGGAAGAGGGGGAGAGAGAGAGGCAACAGAAGAGGAGGGAGTGGGCTACAGACTTCTTCTGGTCCTACACGGATGAGCCTCACGCTTCTAGGCGCCGTCACATCCTCTCTCAGTACCCTCAGATTAAGGAGCTCTTTGGTCCCGACCCCTGGGCTTTCCTCAAGGTATCTCACTCCACACTTTGGCTTTCCAGAAATTCAATCCGCCATTTTTGTTGGGTTTTCTTTGTTTTGCCTGTTTGTGTTTGTTTTTTTCCATTGGTTTTATCTGTGACAGTGACAATGTTGGTGATTCCAAGAACATGGTGCGGATACGATTTTTGATTTGTTTCTGCAATTGGGTATTGAAAGCTTTCCGCTTTTCTGAATTATGTTGCGAATTTCATACGCGAAGTGGCCATTTTTTGCATTAAATGTTAGTTTTCGCACATGTTAGTTTTGGGAGCCAAAGTTTTGAGCTTTCTGAACTAAATGTCCTGTTTACGCAGCGAAATATGGTGTTTTAAGATGTCATGAACAAATTGCGCATGCTGCTTTTGCGAATTTATGCTTCCTCACTTGATATCTCATTTGTGCTCTTCGTGTGAATCGAATTTATGCTTTCTATTGTACTGGTTTAGGTTCAACAGGTGAATTTCGCAGAGTTTTGTCAATGTAGAAATTGGAGTATTAGTGTTCTAGTTTGAGATGAACCGAAACGTAAATGTCTCCGTTAACTATATTTTGATTTTGTTTAATGACCTTCAAATGAAATCATGGTGCAGATTACTGTGGTTGTCTTTGCTTCGGCTCTGGACTGCAACAGCCCTCCACAATGCAGGCTGGCTGAAGATGCTAGCGATAGCCTACTTCTTTGGCTCGTTTCTCAACCACAACCTCTTCTTGGCCATCCATGAGCTCGGTCACAATCTCGCCTTCTCCACTCCAGTCTACAACAGCTGGCTCGGTATTTTTGCTAACCTCCCGATTGGTGTTCCCGTGTCTGTCACCTTTCAAAAATATCACCTTGAGCATCATCGTTTCCAGGGAGTAGACGGAATTGATATGGACATCCCAAGCAAGCCATGTGGTGACTAATGTGGTCACGAAATCCATATGGGTTCGCCCTCCTTCAACTGTTCTTCTATGCCCTTCGGCCTGTGTTTCTCAAACCAAACCCCCTGGTTATTGGGAGTTCCTCAACTTTTTCATTCGGATAGCCCTTGACGTTGCCACGGTCTACTTTTACGGCTGGAAATCTTTTGCTTACTTGATCCTCTCTACATTTGTCGGCAGTGGGATGCACCCAATGGCGGGTCACTTCATTTCGGAGTATTATTTCTTTAACCCTGATCAGGAGACGTATTCTTACGATGGCCCTCTCAGTCTCCTAGCTTGACATGTAGGCTACCACAACGAGCACCATGTTTTCCCCAGAATTCCCGGGAGCAAGCTTCATAAGGTGAAGGACATTGCACCGGAAGACTACGAGGGTTTGGATTCGTATAAATCTTGGAGCCAAGTGATCTACATGTACTTAGCTGATCGAACTGTTGGACCGTTCAGTCGAATGAAGAGAAAGGCAACAAAATCTGAATAGATTCTCTCTCGTGCACTATTTTGTTCCATTTTTTTTGTATCCTATACTGGTTCTTAAACGGGTTATTCGTTCTTTTACTTTCGATTGTTTGTAGGGTTATTCGTTTTACTGTTGTATAGACCGAAGAAAAGGAAGTTATACTTATTCATTAATTAGCAATTGGAAAAGAAAAAAACATTTTGTTTAAGCTATGAACCCTATTTTATATATCGAAAAGATGGAAAGAGATTCGAGGTATGCTATGGTCAATCGGCCATCCATCCTCATCTGGGCCGCTTATGCTAGCAGAAGTCTGAGACATTCTTAAACCAAAAGAAGTAAACCAAGGTAGGAAAACATCATCACTATACATATGGATTCTAAGAACCAAAGGACACAGCAACAAGACTTCAGTTTCTTCTCCCCCAAGCATCTGGTGACAGTGAGTGGTATCATCGGTACTATCATAGAGCTCTAGTATCTTTGTTCTCTTCACTTGATTGACTGAGAAGGAGAAACAGAAAGTGATGCATCAAATGTCAAATCCATAGAAAGAAGAAAATGTCGTAAAATAAAAGAATCTGAAGCAGTGAGATTGCAGGTTTAGGAGTGAATTCTTACATTCCAGTTACTGTTCTTGGCAGGTTGACCATTAGGATTTATGAGCGGGAGTCTCTCCGGGGGACACTCTTCATCGCTATCGTAGCTGGATCTTTGGTTTGGCCCTGCAGACCTTAGAGCTGTGGCTAGTACGATTGATAAACCCTGCAGATTATCTACTTTAGTCCCCATGACAGCTGATAATGTTAGTCGGAAACACTTATAAAATCAAATTATAGGAAGAAAAGACCCTCGCCTATACTGAAATAACATTCGGTGCAATAACAGTTGGGTCCAGAGTTTCTCTTTCGAAATAGAGATTTAAGCCGTTTCGACTATAGACCATAGTTCTAAGGGGCTTACTTGTGAAAACCCTAAACTTTAACAAGATGGATTTAAATGCGTTTTCAGAACACTGGCTGTTATTGTTAGCAAAAGCATCAAACACTTAAAACCACCTGTGCTAAGACGATGAACAAGCCGATCCACTGAAATATGTCCAATTTCGACTCGACAAAATCTTTGAAATCACTGAACTTTCCTGTCCGGTCATATGGCAAATCCTGAAAAACGAAGAACAAATTGAGTCCAAGCAAAAACAAAACGACATTCTAAACTACTTTAGCATGCAGAAAAGAGGGTTCAACATTGGGCGAAAAAAGGCGGGCACGCTGCCTTGGCCAACTGACTTAACTCACATCTACGAAAACAAGGACTATGGTTTACCTTTTCCCAGTCTGAATTTAAAAGTATATCTGCAGCCGCTGCAAACTCCAGTAGAAGCAGCAAAAACATGATCAACATATACTAGAACTTGTTCAAGGTCAACATGAAAGGTGTTTCTTCAGTACAACCGGGTGTATACGTCCCCATAAGTATCTCCCGTGTCACTTGACACAAAAATACTAAAAAGGCGATATACCCCTGTTACAGGTTAGAATATCTCAAACATAAGATAAATTCGAGTTTGCAACACCTATGTACAAAACCAGAAAAGGATACAAAAGAGAGGCAACAGCCATGCGTAAACTTTGCAGCAACGTGACCTATGCATGTTATTATGCACACGGTAAAACCGGCGCCAATAGAAGTGCATATAAACCTACAATTTCAAGAGAGGGATGAAAATGGTAAATCATTACTACGATTGATAAAATAAAAAGTAGTCTGGCTATGGACCAGACGTCCATTATGTATATGAACGGACTATTGATCCGTCATTTATAATGTATCGATATCATTTTCTCCAACATAAACAATTACTACCACTAATATACATAACCCTTCGTAAGGGGGATCCGACTAAACTGTAGTTGTACGAGATTCATATCGACACGGTATCAACTATCAAGAGAGTGCTTACCATGGAGGAACAACACTCTGATGGTCAAAGGGCGAACCGTCAGAGTCCCTCAGCCAAACTCTAAGCATCCAAAGGCCATACAGAATCATAGCAATTCCAACCATTCCCAAAAGTGAGTTCATAGCTTTCAGCAGTGACTGCAGGCAGATTCTTGCAATTGTTGCCGCCATTGTAGTAGCTAGCTAGTGACTACCAAAGCTTTTCAACTTGGACAAAGTAAGAACTCCAAATTAAAGATTACAATTAAACCTCAATCCCTTGTTCAGGACCGCTTCTGGAATGGTTGAAAACGCTTTCCAACAAACAAAACCGCTTCAAAGTAAAAAAACTTGAAGTATGCAACGTTTAAAAGTTCGATGTTTTAGTTCATAAATTCTTCTTAATGATTAAGGGATGGTGGTACAACTTGAATTCTGTTCAAGACATTTGTTGAGAAGTGCCGAGTAGGAAATTTCTAAGAAAGTGAGTAATGTGTCTTTTTACTAAGATTTTTGTGAGTAGATTTTGTCCTGTGATACTGATATATTGGTCTGTTCCAATCCCACACGTTATCATGTTTGGGGTGATATTTGCGTACCTCGTTTTGCCTTTCACACATCTTTCTCAATTTCTAACCGTCAGATTGAATGAACTAAAGAGGATCAAATGATAGAAATTATCATGAGATGTGTGAAAGGTCAAAAAAGGTGTGTGGATAGCAAGATGCCAATGTTTAACTTTAGGTGGCAGGAATAAAGTAATTTTAAGGAAAAGAATCAGTAACCTCGCTCATGTGTGCATTCTAGTATTAATTACTTTAGGTTTTAATTTACTCGCACTTTTGACATCACCATCACTTTATGGATTTGTCACTTTCCAAGCATCGGGTAGCACAAGTCGATTTGTCTAGTTCGATATATGCCGGGTGGTGTGTGTCAGTTTGGTACAATATTTATAAAATCGGACATCTAATAACAAGTTGCTGTGGTGTAGTGGTTATCACGTTAGTCTTACACACTAAAGGTCTCCAGTTCGATCCTGGGCAGCAACAAGCTTTCAATTTTTTGTTTATTCCTCATTTATGCTTTCATTTTTTTAATATTTTTCTTTCATTTGCAATTTGAATTTATTTTTTTTCTTTATTAAAAACTAAAAAACTAAAGGATAGGATTAGTAACACAAACCAACGATGAAAGAAATAAAAGTAATAATCATTCCGTTACTAAATTTTAATTAAATATAATAACTTAAAATTCTTTCTACCATTATTATTCTTCTCTATCTACAGCAATAAAACCCATCAACGAAATAATTATCAAACTAACATTGAACGAATAAAATTTCATCAAACAATCGCTTTCGATGAAGAGAATTCTACAAAGTTTTATTAAGAAACCGTTAATATCCTTTGGTACAAGCTCCAATTCCAAAACGGAAAACGACGGTACGTAAAATCATGTCGATCAGTCTAAATCCAGCTCGATTTTGCACATTGCAATTTCAAAATTGCACATTCCATCTCGTAGTGTGTACATATATACAGCCAAGATATGCGCAGAAAATTGCATTGATCCCGCAATTTTCCACTGCGGTTGCCATGCAAAGTTAAAACTCCAAAAGAGGTACGACTTTGCAAGCAATTCCAGCTACAAGAACATATCTTTTATATGTAACAGCTCCAAGGATCTTAGACCGAGCATTTTCCGCAGCAGCGAGGTTTGCCGGAATTTGTTAACTGATAACAGCCCCTTACTGCCTTTGACGTCCAAGATATTCTCGCATTTGCACGTGGTTTTCTGCCTTGACCACTAAACGCATCTTTTTCGAGTTTACATCCTCCCACAGCAGAGCATTATAGCCTCGCGCAAAGTCAGAAGCACCCTCGAGGAGTTCCTGGCAGTTATAAAAGAAAAATCATAATAATGGAAAGAAAAAATAATAATACACGCGTCAATTTTGATAAGCGGATTGTCACCCTGGTTGGAAATTCATCGTAATAATAAGCTGGAGTCATCTCAACCCTATTCAGATCTGTTTCCCACAGCCTAATCTGCCAGATACGAGTGAATTTGAAAACGTCAGAATACCACCATGCATGGAAGTCCCTTACAACAGAACATAAATAAAAACCATCCAATTCAAAGAACTCTGTCATATTTAATATTTATAGAAGAGCATAGCCGAGCTTGATATTGGACAATTTTTACTCCATCGGAGTCGAGCAGATTGAACTCTCAAATATTTTGCTGAATTCAAACATGAAGATAGAGAGGGACCAGACCTGATCTGTGACGTTCTCAGGTACGGATGGTACTCTCTCGGCAACACGTGGATGTGCATTCTGCTGAAGAAAAGATATTATCTGCCAAAAAAAAAAAATTAGACTTCCAACATTCCAGAAACAGTTTCAGCAACCCTTTTCTCCCTTGTGACTTGGGAGGATGTGCACGTGTGCTTACAGAAAGATAGGTACTACAACTTGAAGCCTTTCCAATAAGCACACGGGCAATTGAAGAAGAACATCTTAATTGTTAAGCTTGTGAAGCAAAACATCCCTAGAAAGGCTCTATCTTTCTACTGATTTGTTGTACAAGAATTGAGGCAGTTATCTCAACTAAGTATACCATCGTTTTTTTCCACGACTCTCAGACAACTTGACAAGGACTAAGCATACCCAAAAGTACTTAAGACTTATACTGAAAACTAAAAGTAGATTAACGAAAAGAAAATATTTGCCTGTTCTCCAGTGATGCCATTTTCAAAAGCACTGTACAAACTTTCTTTTGTTATTGCTCCAACAATAAGGTTTGGAAGTTGATATTCTACCCTGCAGAGAGTGGAAAAAGAAAATTTTAGAATTTTAATAAAAACTTAACTCAGAAATTAACAAGAACAAGAAGTACTGTATACCAACACAACCAAAACAATGACACCACCCATTGTAGCTAAATGCTACCTTTCCCCCTTAATAAAAGAAAGGTCCAGCCTGACCCTAGGACGAGAAAATTCAGAGGCAGGAGATCCAAAAATGCATTTATAAGCCTACATCTTGATTTTCTTCTACCATCTTTCTAATATGTATCAGAAAATAAAATATGCATCTCTTTGTGCTTTCAACAATGTATAGGCCAAAATTAAACGAATATAAACTAATATTCAAACAGCATGCAATAATTATTTCACCTGTCTCGTGACTAAAAGAAAACAGAAACTGCAAGGCAAACTATACAAGACAATTGATAGACCGATTGGTCAGCATACCTTGAGAAAAGACGTAAAATTTCACAATGTAATTTAGATGTTGAGTAGGCATAGAGCCTGAAGTTTGTTTCCACAACAACAAATCCCTGAACAAAAAGTGAGTAAATAATTCGTAAGTAGCATGTATAGCCATGGAACTGGTTTTCTTGATGATAGGGAATCAGTTGTGGAATAACCAATTTGAGACAAACCTAGAATGAGTAAAAATAACATACCTGTTTCCTCGATGATGAGTCTGTCAAGCTAACTGACAGATTAGTAGCTAATTCAGTAGGTATAAACCAACTGTCTTTCCTTCCCTGGATAAGTACACAAAAAGACAGCAATTTAAAAATTGAGGCTAGGATATGGTTAAACTATCATCTGGGCAAGTATTAGCACATGTTATACCAAGAATAAATCACAAAAGTATAACCTGCTGAAGTTTGATCAGTCCCAAATCTGCAAGATCCTTGATTATATTCCTCTGCCTCTCATTCAATGTATTTATGTTATATGCCTTACACACAAAAAAGAAAATATAATCAAGGGGTGAGAGAAAAATTCCAGTACAAACTTCCCCTGTGGAAGGAAATGCTTTCTACAAAAAAATAATGAATTGAATTCTATCAAAAGTTCTTATGACAGCATTTACTGCAACACTATTTATGTTTCAGTTGGAAAAATAATATTAGCCAGAAAAGAAAATATGGGGAAATTCAATAAAGCACATGCTACTGCAAAAGAATAGTCATGTATAAAAGGCATATAACTAATACCTCGCCTGTAACATGAAAACTAAGTTCTAGCAGAAACGAAATCAAATCTGCAGAATCTAACCCACGCTCCTGCAACAAATAAAATTGAGGAGAGATCAGATATAAGATAAAACTCATGAACACAGCTACTGAGAAGAAAAACTTAAGTTGCACTTTCTTATCATTTGCATCTCAATAACTTAGTGTGGGATAACAGTCAACATCACAAACAACATAGTCACATTGTACTTTCAACTTCTAACTCGAGTCCTCAAGGAAACACATTAGGTAAAATTTTCCTTATTTCGTCTGCCCAAATGATTATAATTAAATTCCCTCGATAAATTAAACCATAGGAACACACACAGAATAATATAAAAATACTAAAAAATATTTGGTTGACAATATGAATCATTAAGCCCCGGAAAGAAAAACCTTCCAACTGTTCTGCTTAAATCAGCTTTTCTAGTACTTGATAAACTACTTGGAACTGTAATAGAAGCTCAGACTTCAGAGTATAGAGTAAGAACAAACAAAAATATCAGGTTAATGGTCTGGAAAGGAACCAACAAGTTATAACGTAATGAATCCATACCTCCGAGTTAGAGATGTACTCTCTGATGATGTACCAGAGTTGCGCATTTGTATCCATCAACTGTGGTATTCACATATCAGAAATAATTTCCAGTAAGAATTAAGAGAAATCAAACATGCTGCGTGCAAGCAGTTGAAGCGGTTTGCATACCAAGAACTGGAAACCACTTTCAGTTAATCTTGGAGCTTCTCTATCCCTGTACAAACAGAAAATGGAAAACCCCAATATTAGATATGAGACACAATGCTAATCTTTTCAAATGTGCAAAAGAAAGAAAGGCTTGTTTAGCGGGAAAAACTAATAACAAAAGCAAGGACCTTTGACTCAAAAGACCCCGCTGGAAAGTTTTCATCATAGACGAACTGATGTTCGATGGCCTCTCACTTTGAGATGAGTTGATAAGTTGCAGCAAGAAACACTGATATTACATGACAGAAAGTCATAAAGAAGAGCAAACCTAAATTATAAAACTTCACAATAAGAAGTTATAAAAAATAATAATATACAACTATACATCATAGTCACCACAGTACACAGAAGGCAGAAAAAATATCTAAAAACGCAATCATGAATTCAAAAAGGTAATAGATGCATGGGTGAATTCCACACCTCCCATTGTTCTAAGGCAAAAGCCTGAAGATCCTCCAAGCTTGGGAGCCTCACTGTTATATTTGAAGGCATTGGTTCTCTTGGCAAAACTACACTGCAGTATAAAAAGGTGAAATAATGAACGGAGGCCCTGAAACTTCTGCATGAGTGAACCCTATACATAAACGCATAACCCACTATCTTGTAATTACTTTGATCCCTAAACCTTGAATACAAACAAATAGAAGTAGGGGACGCAAAACTCACCCGTGTACCAGAAGCTTCTTGAGATTAGTCTGAAATATAGGATTTAGTGTGTAAGTTGTTTCCCTCTTCCTGTCATAAAGTCAAAAATGAAAACAATATAAATAAATAAAAAAGATACCACCCAGCATCAAATTCAAAATGTTCTTCTGGAAAACCATAAAAGAAAGCTCGAATCACCTGTCCACAGTTTCAGTAAATATTCTCAATTGAATCAGCCGATCAATTGCAACTCTATGTTTCGAGACCCCATCAGGAAGCACCCACTCCTCCATTGACTTGGCAGTCACCGGAACTTCAATGCACAACAGTTGCAAGACATATTTCTTAGCCAACGGTGGCAGAGACCTGAAAATTGCAGCTCTATAATTATTACTAAGCTAGTTCATATACACTTAATCAACAAACATAAACTAAAATACAACCCAAAATAAACAAGTACATAAAACCAATATGTGAAATGCGAAAGCAACTCGAAACCTAAAAATTGTACCTATATGATCATCACTAACTCATCAAAGATCACAGTGCATAAAGATCACAGAGTCGTTCATATGCACTAATAAAAAAACACACACAAATGAACCCAAAAACAAAGCTAATGTGCCGCAATGACAAAGAAAACCGAGACCCGAAAATTGCACCAAGATGATTATTCACTCACTCACTCACTCATCAAAGACTACAGGGCTCAGTTAGTTCCCTATGCACTCAATCAACAAACACAAATTAACCCCAAAAATCGATGAGCAAATAAAGCTAATACTCGACATTGCAAAAGCGAAAAAAGATTGAAGTAAGAAAAGCAGAAAAGGTCAAGACCTGAGAATTGCTTCGCAGATGAATGCATTCTCGTATAGCTTGTCGAGCTTCATGGCGGGCAGGGCGGCCACCATGTCCATGAAATTCTTCGCTATGATCCTCACCTGAGGCATCTTTGATCCAATCCAATCGGGAGTTCTGCCCCGCTCTGAGATTCTAGGGTTTTTCTGAGCTTCAAGAATCAATCCCCTCCAAACAGGGGTTTAAGAATTGAAATTAAATTCTAGGGTACAAACTTTCAGATTGTGTTTCTTGCACGCTTCTGTGTCTTCAGTGGGAGTGTGACTGAAGGTCGACAAATTGACGCCGTATATGTGATTTTCTCCGATGATTGAAGATCGCCGGAGGCCGTCTTCTTCGCTTTTTGGTACGTTTGTTCTAGTTTCTTCGATGTGATTTTATTCATACGACCGCGCCTTTTCTCTATACGACGGCGTTTTCGATTGAATCATGACTTATTTTTCATTGTTGAAATATCATTTAATTTTGGAGTAGGCTTTTTAGCCAAAATGATTCTTGAACTTTGCATAACACATCACTTTGGTCCTTAAGATTTGAAATCAATAGAAGTAATCCCTGAGATTGTCCTACCATCAATCATTTTGGTCATTTAGTGTAAAATTTTGTTAAATAAGGATCAAAATGACAAATATACCCTCAATTAATAAACAATTGACCAAAATGATTTGACAATAATTAAGGGTATTGTGGTCATTCTATTCTTATTTAATAGAAATTTTTAAAGGAATGACCAAAATAATTGATGTTAGACAAACTCAAGGAACAATTCTATTTATTTCAAATCTTAGGGACCAAAGTGATGAGTTATGCAAATCTCAAGGACCAAAGTGAGGAGTTATGCAAATCTCATGAACCATTTTGGTTAAAAAGCCTTTTGGAGTAATACTAGTGAGACCATAATTTTAAATCAAATTTGCAAACCAAAGAGCAGGACGGCTAATATAATTAGGAATAGTGCTACTCAGACACTCATTTTTATTTCCCACACACCCTTATTAATTTTTATCATTAATCTTCATCAATTCATTTTACTAAAAAATAAATAGTGTGTAAAAAGAATAGCACTACCCTATAATTATGCTCAACCAGATCAGAACCCTACTTCATGTGCAATAGCTAAACTAATTATAATTTGGGTATATTTCATGAACCCTATGCTTCATTTTTTCAGTGTGACACCGCTTATCGCACTGTGTTAATAATATACCTTGGAGTCTCGTTTGGTTGCTAGGAGCCTGAGATTGTATTGGAGTGAATAACTTGCTGCATCTAATTTGAAGCAAGAAATGGAGGTCCAAGTTGGAAGTAGAACGCGATCGAGGGAAAACATTTCTCGTGACTAATTTATTTTCTACCTTCAATTTAAACAAAATATTAACATTTTTTGCTTCACTCAACATACATAAATCTACCGACTCATCTACCCCAACTCAATCATGGCAGCTTGGCTTCTCCACTTCTACACTTCGATCAAAAACGAATCCACAGTGAACAAATTCTCAAACATTTTTCCTACCATTGAACTTGCAAATATATCAATAACAATTAAATGGAATGAGATCCATTCCAAATCTTTGTGTCTGAAGCCCATAAACCGAGAGATCCGAACCGTTCAAATTTTGAGTTTTTGTAAAGTGGGCCAGTGTGATGAATTAATAGGGGCCAATAGGAGTGAAATTAAGTGATCCATTCTCTTGGTCAGTGAGCTTCGGACATAGGGATCCGGAGTGGATCTCAATCTCAAATTGTCTCCAACTCCAGTACAATAGAATGGGGATCCAGTCTACAGTAAAAAAATCTGGAAGCCTGGATGTTAGTTGACGCGAAAGGCATATAAATAGCAAAAAGAAAATTAAATCCTGCAAACTATCAACTAACTATAAATGTATCTATTTTGTAGTATAGTTAGGTCTGTCTCTCACTATGCAGAAGTGCTAAGTATGTCGTCGGTCGTTGCCATGGGTTCAGCAGGGTGGGCGGGTGGCTTTTCAACAGGGGGAGGCTTAGGCGGCCTGTTTGGACGAACTTTATCAGCTATGTCTGGATTTTTATCAAACTGCGACATCAAGGAACTTTATAACTTTCAAAATATTCATCCTAGATAAAATGTAACCAGAACTTTACGGGGTTGAGAACAGACTAACCTTGAAACCGCAACCAGATACACAAGCATGAAAACACTCCTGCACATAGAATTGCATCAGCAATAACTCATCTGAAAAAATGTGCATTGAATCAGGGACCATGCTTTAGGACGATGATGATATGCAACCATATGAACCTTTCCACTCATATTCACTAAGTTCAAGATTTTAAATCATGGGGCATTTAGCTATATCAGATAGTACCAAATTACCAATTTTCTTATGGCTGTCATGGGACAAAACTAGTTGTTTAAAGCATAAATTTTCCTACTTTTCACCTTATATACAAAAATAATACTCATGGTTGGTCAAAATTACAAAAAATTAGTGAATCATGAGGCGAGTATAGTGAACAACACTGCCATTAGTGACTACAACTTTTGGACTTGAGAAGATACAAGAGGCGATAACGATTTAACAAACATTACCACGTGTTCGTATTATCATTGAAAATGTTACTCATTATTCATTAGCATGCTAAGAAGAAACTATAGAGGGAAACATACCTCTGAGTACCTGTCAACTCCGGGAGAACGGTCAATGCAAGCACTCCATTGCTGGTCCTTTAAAACAGGATCCTTATAGCATATCACATTGCACTCCTCCAAGCCTGTGTTATATATACTTGCTATATCACTTGAAGCATTTAACCAACTACATAATAATTTACTTATGGACGGAACCCCACCTCAATCTAGTAGCATACTAACTCTAAACCAATAGTCTACTTCCATATCAAGTTTCTGATTTAGAAACGATAAGAGCCAAGCTAATCCATGAGCCAAAAGTTAATGCAGATGGGGAACTTCCCACAGCATAAACAAAGTCAGTACGCTATGGGTAGTCAATGGCTTCTTAGAAACGCCATTTTAGTAATGTGTCCGTAAACATCAAGGTGACAAAAAGCTAAAATTCAAAACGAAAAAAACAAGAGCGAACCAAACAACCAGAACATATATTCTCATCTAAGTATGTTCATACGAAAACTGAATTGAAGAACAAATTAATACTCACATTCTTCCCAAGTCTCTCCATCCGCATCGCACCCCTTTTTGCAAAATACTCGCCCTACAGGAAAAAAACACACAATTTACAGTGATCCAGGATAATAGTTCCAAATTTTTAAACAATCAGTATTCAAACACAAATTCGAGTGCTTGCTTGTACCTAAAGCAAACATTACTCCAACCCCAATTCACCAGGAAAATTCCGCCACTAAAAACGCAAAATTGGGTCAAAACTGATCGTACAAAATACAGAAATCAAAATTAGGGGTCGAAAAACTCTGCAATTCATCACCTACGTTAATTACCCAACACGAGATTAACATAAATAGCGCGATAATTTTGATATCAGTATCATTTCGAGCGCGAAAACAAGCGAAATGGCCGAAATTAGAGCAAAAAATTTGAAATTAGTAAACGAAAACGAAAATCAAAAGAAATAAAGGAAATCAAAGATTCAGGAGGAAGCAATATTTCAGAGCGAGTGAGGAGGAGAATGGGTTTACATGGAATCTGCATAAGAGCTGCGTACTTGTGCGTGCATTGGTGGCCGCACGGAGACCCCCATTGATGCGGTGTCATCTTCTTCTTCTTTCTCTCGGCCTCTGATCAGAATTCTGCCCTGTGGAAATGGACCGGTGGGAAAATGGGGAAAGGCAATCGTGGGTGATTTTGTAATTTACGTTAGACTGGAGGTGTAAATTAAAGAGTTCAACTAGACCCATCCCCCACCACAAAAAGTTAAAAACTTGAACTGTTATCTTCTGACCAACCATTATTCCTAAAATATCCTTTATATTAAAATTCTTTTTATTTTTATTTTTATTGAGTAAAAAAAATCTACAAAAACACGATTCAATTAACCAGGATACATAATGAGAATCACATCTATACAATACATTTTACACAATTCCTGACGTCTTCTCCATCCTTCAGCATGCCACCCGCCCCAAGAACATTGTGTTCCACTTCATATGCACCTCTCACAACAATCGGTATGTGGATTGTGGATTGTGGACAGACAAGCCTTTATCCTAGTTTTCAAGGTTGTTTGCTGGTACTGACAACAAAAACAAATAGATCAAATTAAAATGCCCAAAGGTACTGGGACTTGATTTTTAGAAGATTTAGAGAGGTGGGTTGTTCTAGAAGATGGGGAAGAACAAACCTGCTAACAGAGAGAGTAGGGGTTTTTCTTTTCTACGGTCTTAGATGTCATTTTACAAGAGAGTAAATTAGGTATTAAATTTTTTTATTAAAAGATGGGTAGGGAAATAAGACAATGGGATGAGTTTATCACCACTCTTGAAACGCATGAAAGATGTGTGATACGATTAGAGTAGTGTTACACATATTTTTTTTTTTCTTCGATGGAAATCTTTAGAACTACCGCTGCTTATCTTTCAATTTGTCTCTGATCATCAATTGAAATGTGAATAACATGTCCTCCTCTCTTTAAAACAAAGGGCGCTTCTAGTTATGAAATCTTATTGAAACTGTCTACATCTAGTCCATCCTTCGGAACCATATCACATCTTGTATATGATGAAATATGATGAATTGAGACTGTATTTTGTAAACATGTAATTTTCTTGAATAAGTTATCTATATATTGATATTCTTCGATTCGACGGTCAGAAATTAAGAAAAATGTACAAGAGATAAAAATGAGTCAGTGGATAGCACAACCCTATGATGAATCCAAACATAATATAGACAACCGGGCCCCGATTAATCCACTCCTCAAGAAGGGAGTCATGAAAAAACTAGGGGCTTCTCGAAAACATTATATTTTAGTACAAGAATACAAAGACTATTCGCCTCTCTGGAAAGCAGAAACATGAATAAATATGGATGAAGCAATTGACGGAGCAACCAACGTATTACGTCATGGACCATACTTGAAACAAGTCCTCCAAATGAAGATCATTTAGAATGTCAATAACATTTTTTTAAGAAAAAGTAAAAACTCAAAGTCTAAAAGAAATTCCTCCGAACTGTATCATTTCTTTTAAGATTTTATTCCAATACAGAGTGAAATCTCTAGAAGTTGTATTTGGTTGGTGTCATGTCAATATGTTCTTCTTTGAAAGTGAAATTATTCATATATTTGTCAATATGTCAAATGCCAATGTACACAAAAATCTCAAACAATCACAATTCAAATAGAACTTGTGTAAGAAGGGAGAAAATAATGTACATGTGAAAGGGTGAAAAAGAGAAAAAGAGATGAACACCGTGTATATTTATGTGGACGAAATTGGAGATTTATTTCTTTAGTATTCAGTTAACTAATAATTCTGGTCTCATTTGTCTAATGTTACGTTAATCCATAATGTACATGCTTGTAGTTTTGCTCACTACTCTCAAGTATTGATAGTGTTTACTACCTTATTTATCACCGTTGGATGAATTCAAATTTCAAGATTTGTGTCTATCCGTTACATAAATCTCGAAATTTAAACTCATCTAACAGTGATAAATAGGATGGTGAACATCAGCAGCTCTTAAGAGTGCTGAGCAAAAATATTCTCAATGTACAAGCCTTTGTTGATGTTATCAATAAACACTATTACAATCCAATGAGACAATAATGTACCAGAATAACGTAGTTTGATTATCGTCAAAGATAAATTTGAACTACATTATGTAAAGTTAAGCTCACCTCTTTTGTTTTTTAATATGAATAATATCATTTGTTCAAATAAAAAACTTTAACCAACGTAATTTTGTATTCAACAGAATCTAAAAGGTACGAGAGGAAATTGACCAATTTAATGTAAACGAAGGCCCTAACTGAAAAATGGGAAGAAATAAGAAAATTATACGCGTACCCCAGGGCCCACGCCTGAAACGACAAAGCCCACCCGTTGAAAAGGCAATCAAGATTCAGGAATCTTGCTCCCAAACGATACGGGTACCCCACCCCTGTTAGGACAAAGCCCACTTGTTCAAAAGGCATCAGGATCCAGGCATCAAGATTCAGGAATAAATCCCAGGTGGTGTTTTTATTTTTTATTTTTTAATAAATGATGTTATTTACGGTAAAGTGAAAATGATAAACTAAAAGTCAAACATCTTAACAATATTATAGTTCAATTTTGTTTTTGGCAAAACTTAAACTTAAAATATATCACTTACGATTCTAAAGAATACTAATAGCTCGTAATACAAAATGATCTTCCCGAGTTGGGGCACATGGACAGCCCTAAGGTGCACTCCCCCACTTTGTCGTATGTCTACTCCCCACGTACGCGTATCCCACTGTCTTATACATGGACCCTATTTCCCCCACGTGAAGTAGATAAGTGCCACGTGGACTTCTATCAACGTCCAACTAGACAACATGCGAAAGGATCTTCTTCGGATTCCTTTCTCATAATTCACAAAATCAGGAATTTTGAGCAATAGAAAATTGATTCAAAATTTTAAAGTGAATTTCTATTGTAATCGTTGGATTAAATTTCTATAACATGGATTTCCTGCTAGATTAAGAAGAAGAGATCCGGAGATATCATTTTCAACAACAGGAACTCCCACTGGTGCGTTGAATCTGCATAAATAGAGGGGGAGAGAGAGAGGGGAGAGAGAGAGAGAGAGAGAGAGAGAGAGCACTTGTTGTTTGACAGTGTCTGCAGTCAGAGGAGGGAGAGAGAAAAATGGAGGCGCTGCAATGGAGGATATTGCCGCTGCTTACGATGATCGCTTCTTTCCTACTATTTTTCTATTTCCGGTATCCCTCCCAGGTCTGATGACAAATTTATTTTTTGTTTCATGTAATTTAATTGGATTTTTTTCCCCTTTTCATTTGTTTCATGTAATTTATTTTTCTTTTCATTTGTTTATTTTGTTGGGTTGTATTTACGTATTATTTTGTACTGATTTTAATGATGTAAAAATGTTATTAAGTTACTGGTTTTCCGTTAATACTGGAAGATTTAGAGTTAGATTAAATTTTGGTTTTTTCTCAGCCAACCAAACACTATTTTTATGTAGAAACTTGCAACGTATTACTGTTTTGATTCTTCACTCTCAGGGATGCTTCTTTGATATTTTTGTTTTATTGTTTTTTTTTCTTGGTGGGTTAATTTTATATTTTTGTTTAATACTGATGCTTAAGGCAATCGAGAAATAGGGAGTGCAATGAAATACTTTTGATTTTTGTAATTTATATATATATATGATTCCAAATTGTTCGTTTGTTTCGCTCATTTTCTTACCAACCAAACTGTGTTTTGTGCAGACAATCATTGGAATATACCATATGAATTTTTAGGGTGATTATTTTCCTGTCTAATCCATTCAAAGAAATGGAGTGCAAAGAAAGCAAAAGATCAGTTTATGAAACGATATTATTTATCGATCTAAACTTTTTTTTCATTGAATTTATATGGTTTTCAAACTAGAAAAATCAGAACTAGAGACTCGAATTTTCCGTTTTTCCTTGGACGTTTTCTCTGCATTTTCTCATCAAGCAAACACTATTTTCTTTTAGAAAAATCATTGCAATTAAAGGACCGTGTTGATTCTGAGTTATAATTCTTTGACTTCATCTTTTCCCTTCAAATCCTCCTCCATTCCATTCCATTCTCCTTCTATTTGGACGGTGTGGTTTGGTATTGCTGCTTTAAAAAAAAAAAAAAACTGTTTCTGTTGTGCCGTGAGAATAAGCTTATTTTTGCAACGTCACGTTTTCAATTTTTTTTCCATCTAAAATTGTGAAAATAAGCTCTTTTTAAATGTTTACCAAACATATTTTTAAGCTCATCTTTTTTTTATACCCATTTTTTATAAAAGAACTTCAGTACCGAACTAATACTAGACCATGTCAACATTTTTTTTGTTGATTTCTTTGTAAGGAGAGGAAGATAAAGAAGGAAATGAGAGAGAATCCTACTCCGACACGTCAGTCGGTGTATAATTCCAATTTTCGTTTGTTGTTTACTTTTCTTTTGATAGTGGACAAGTGGATCTGAAATATTAAAATACTGGGTGATATGAACTTGTTTTAATTTGTCAAATAATAGATGATAGAGAAGTTATGCTGTCCTACGTTCCACCCCACTTAGAATATTCCACTAAGAAATTTTGGTGACATCATTTCTTTTTTTTGACGTGAAATTAGTATATAATATATCCACTAAATTTTTATTTACAGAAATGTTATGGACGTTATGTGTTGTATTCGTGTGCATGTCAGACTATATTTTTGTTCGAATTTTAAGTTGTGTAATGTGTTGTGTTTGAAATTGCCAACGTCCAAAAAATTAAATGCCATTTTGACAGAGTTCGATCAAAACCCTTTATTTTGCAGCAATATCCGAAAAACTGCAGCCTGCTGCCTTTCCAACATTATTGGATCGCCAGCAAGCGCATTGTGACACCTCAAGGGGTTATTTCCGGAGCAGGTAAGACGATATTCTACACTAATTTACGAAGAAGAATGATATAACTTGAGTCTAAGAGCGGGCGGACACGAGGTTTTAGCACCAAATAATTAAGTTTACGAAATGTGGAAATGTGCAGTTGAGATTAAGGATGGGAAGATTGCCTCAATTGTTAAAGAAGAGGAAAAGCATGGGAAGATCAAGTCGGAAAATGTGATTGATTATGGAGAGGCCGTTGTCATGCCTGGCCTGATTGATGTGTAAGTTATGACAAAATCAGTTGTCTTTTCGATCGGTTTCTTCATCGTCACGAAGGTAATTAGGTTTTTAGACTTGAGCTTAAACGCGTCGTTTGTATTGGTTTCAGGCATGCGCATCTCGACGATCCTGGAAGAGCTGAATGGGAAGGATTTCCGTCAGGAACTAAAGCTGCTGCTGCTGGTATGCCTATGTAACTCTGCTGCATTCTTTTGTTTTCATCGATTTTTGAAATTGAGAATGGATTTATTTTTCGCTTTCTTGCAGGCGGGATAACAACATTGGTTGACATGCCTCTAAATAGTGAGCCATCGACGGTTTCTAGGGAGACTTTGGAACTCAAGATTAAGGCCGCCGAGAGCAGAATTTACGTTGATGTTGGTATGAACTTGAAACTATGCGTTGGGGATACAGTTATGCTCAAATATTTAAGAACTCGCTTAAATTTAAATACAATGTGAACAGGCTTTTGGGGAGGGCTTGTTCCTGAAAACGCGTTCAATGCATCTGCTCTCGAGGACCTCCTAGATGCCGGTGTTCTTGGTCTAAAGGTAACTATTCAAGTAGTGAGTTTTGTGCCTAGAGAGAGAACTGTTCCATTACATTTCTTGTGCCACAAGGAACGCTCTTACCAACTAATTCAAACATCGTGTGGATCTAATGGAGACCAAATTTGCTATTTTCCTGCTTTAGGAAACAGTGTTCTACCCGCAAATTGTGCAGGATGTTTATGATCCTCGTCTAATGAATTTTTCGATGTCTATTTTTGTAGTCTTTTATGTGTCCATCCGGGATCAATGACTTTCCTATGACAAATGCCAGTCACATTAAGGTTTGTTTCATGAGATTCATCCCTCCCACTATCACATAAAACATCTAATTTACCTTGCAATTAAATTAAAATAAAATAATCGCCATCTTATTTGTTGATTGTATTGCTGCATCCATTGGCATTCTTGAGATGAATGTTGCTTTCGCAGTTCTGACGTTTTTAAAAAATCTGTGTTTTCAATTACTTGTTCATTAGGAGGGACTGTCTGTACTAGCGAAATACAGAAGGCCTTTACTTGTACATGCAGAGAAGGTACAAGAGCTCGAAAGCAACTTGGGAGTTGAAGATGGTAGTAACAATCCTCGTTCTTATTCAACATATCTCAAGACCAGGCCACCTTCATGGTAAGATATTGTTCGTGTGGATGCTAAGTCCTCGTTCTAATTTCACACGATAACTGTGTTTCCTCTGTTTATGAAACAGGGAAGAGGCAGCAATTAAGGATCTCTTGACCTTGACAAAGGACACGAGGATTGGTGGCCCGGCAGAAGGAGCTCATCTTCACATTGTTCACTTGTCAGACTCACGCTCTTCATTAGATCTTATTAAGGTATAGTCTTCAACAATTGTGGTTTATATAGCGTCTTGTTACTCTCTCCGATAGGCGATACGTGCATTTTTCTCCATTATTGCAGGAAGCGAAAAGTGGGGGTGATAGTTTAACTGTTGAGACATGCCCTCACTACTTAGCTTTCTCATCCGAAGAGATTCCCGATGGAGACACGCGTTTCAAGTGTTCTCCACCCATCCGCGATGCAGCCAACAAGGAAAAACTGTGGGAGGCTTTGTTGGTATGTACTTATTTTCTGTTTGCCTGCCTCCTTACAAAGTGATTTTCCATACTACTCTAATTGATGGAAAGAGGATGGTTATTTACCGTCAAATTGATTTCATTTGGCTTTTGATGTTTTGTTTCAGGAAGGACACGTTGACATGCTAAGCTCTGATCACTCACCAACTCTGCCGGAACTTAAGCTTCTCGACGATGGAGACTTTTTGAGGGCTTGGGGTGGCATATCATCTTTGCAGGTTGGCATACTTTTGCCTTCAAATGTTAAAAAGTTGCGATTTGTTTCAGCTAACCGACATTGTTTTCGGGGCACTTGCAGTTTGTTCTTCCTGTAACATGGTCATATGGCCAGAAATATGGAGTGACATTACAACAGTTAGCTTTATGGTGGAGCGAAAGGCCGGCCAGGCTCGCTGGACAAAAATTGAAGGTGGAATTATCATCAAATTTTCCTGCTCAAATCTGAAGTTTCGATTTTAAAACACAGGGAAAATTGCTTTGTTTTAGCCAATTTTTGCGCAGAAGCGGATATTGATATGCACCAAGAAAAACTAAAATATGTCTAATTACTAATTAAATTACAATTTTGCAGGGGGCAATTGCGATAGGGAATCACGCAGATATCGTAGTATGGGATCCAGATGTGGAATTCGACCTCGATAACGAATTCCCCACGCATGTCAAACACCCAGTACGCATTTTTCTTGATCACATTTTGAGGAACCCCTATGCATTCGGTTTAATCTATTGAACCAGTTCTATGTTATCGGAGTTCATTGCTTCGAGCAAGCATTTTACTCTCCTGTGTTACCTTTCAATATGTAGGGTATTTCAGCTTACTTGGGGACAAAGTTATCCGGAAGAGTTGCAGCCACATTTGTAAGAGGAAACCTTGTCTTCGAAGAGGGGAAACATGCTCCTGCACTCTGCGGCGTTCCAATTCTGGCAAGCTGAGAATGAAATAAGAACTGCCAATTGGCGAGCGGAATCGCACAAAACTCTCTTGTATATATGGTTGTATGATCAAATTCTCGTTCATGTAGGGCTCTGCCACAGTTAAATATTGTTCATGACATCCATCTTCTCTAGGGTTTAAGCGTACGTATAGCCTGTTTGACACAATATGGATTTCCTAGATGCAGGTATGCGCACACAAAAATCACAATTTGTAGATTTTTCTTCCACCATAAAACACAAAAAGTACACAAATTAAGGAACGTTTAATAACAATTTTGATTTTGGTTAGTTTTGTGAAGCATTTTGTACTTGTATGATGCTAAGTGGTACAGGCTGCATATTTAAATGGTGTAACAGGCTGCATATTCGCAAGTGGAACAGGCCTTATGAGCTTTGTTCATCCAGTGCACAAGGTGAGGGCGACTAGGCGCGAAGACGACAATGGACAAGTTTGTGGAGTGATGTTTCAGATGGATCTGTGCACGCGAGTCCCCAGCATCCCGTGCACCGGTAGGGAATCAAATTGGGACGACAAGTGTTTTCTAACTGGTGGGTTCTAAACAAAGACTTTGTGAAAAAATTAGAGCCACTGGCTCTGCCGTGCTTTGTGATCCCTAGTGGCACGGAACACATTTGATCACTGTGTTTAACTCCGTTTGCAATTTCAGTCCAATTTCTAAGTTCCGTCAATAAAATTAGCGGGTGAAGGCCTTACAACAGTAGGGCAAAAGCTGCATAACACTTTTTTTTTTTTTTCACAAGTTTGGGGGTTTTTATTAAACTTTTGTGACACACATTACACAATGATGCTTATTACACAAGATATGTTTATTTAGCTAGGGATGGGGAAGCCTTGGCGGCTATGATCATGGCCCATGCCACCATCATCACCGCCTTGGCCGCCACAATGACCACCGCCTTCCTCACCACCACTTCCACCACATTAGCCACCACGATTGCCACCTCCATAGCCATCACCACATCCACTGCCTTGGTCACCACAACTACCATCACCTTCTCCGCCATCGTATCTACCACCTTGGTCACCTCCGCCGCCAAAACTTGGATTGAAACTAATACCACCTCCAATAATCCCTCCTCCCATTTGCCCGCCGAGCCCTCCTCCCATTTGTCCCCCGAGCCCTCCTCCCATTTGCCCGCCGAGGCCTCCTCCCATTTGTCCCCCGAGGCCTCCTCCCATTTGTCCCATTTGTCCGAAGCCGAGGGAATCTGGCCTGTCAACTAGTACAGCTTTATCCTTGCCAATACTAATTGCCCTATGAGCAGAGCTCACTCCCCAGCTAAGTAATAGCAAATAAGCTACGCATGCCCATTTTTTTGGTGTTGCCATTTTCAATTGCTACTTACTTGCCTATGATCTTCTTCTTCTTCATGTTTAGGGTTTTTATACTGTAAAATCTGCGTGCAGATGAGTTTGTTTCAGTGAAAACTGGCATAAAAATGGCAGTTGGTTGAGCAAACCTACGGGAAAGCAAGCTAATCAAGATGCATTTGGTTATGGAAGCCAGGGCATCATGGTGTTTATGTGATCAGATAATTACGTGCGTTGTTTGCAATTGTTTTGAACAAATAATAGTTCAAAATAAAAAGTTGCAAACCTAAGTACGACAACCAAGTTGATTAGAGTGGTGTATTTTAGCTCTGTATTCAATCTTGAATCAATTTTTGTTGTTGTTTCGATGACTAGAAAAGTAAATTTTCAATCAATCTCGTCTACTTATATTATAATAACACGTAATGTACCGTCTTATGTTCTAGGTACAAAAAAATCTCTTCTCAACAAATGACGTAACCCACATACACATCATCTTATACTTCTTGATTACAAAAAATTAAGAAACATACCAAATATCTCCCAAATTAATATCAAATTAGAAACTAAAATCATTCAGTAAGGTAATTCCATCGGCTAATGCATGCAGACGCACATACATCAACATCCCCGTATCATTTACGTGGACGACTTCCCTACCATCACACAGTTCAGTCAGCCAAATCCATGTATTTTTGGTTGGTAATTAGCCAGGTAGGCAATAACCAATCAGTACTTAAAACACTCGACTTGACCAATCAATCACTCAACAACTTCCCTCGGAAGGAACGTGCCTTGGAAGGGAAAAAAGCGAGTGAGCAAACAGCGAAGGCGCCAAAAGCGTGCTGCTTTCTTCTGTTTCTTTGTTTTTGGTTTTTTTAGATTTTTTTAGATTTTATTTATTTATTAATTTTGTTTATTTATGCAAAATATTCTTCAATCCTCTCACTCTCATAACTCGCTCATGAATTAGTTGTATAAGTATCACAACACTCTCGCTCTCGCTCTCGCACCATCTTCGTCTCCAAATCCCCATTCTTTTGGGTTTCGCATTCGGATTTTTTTGAAACTATTCGATCCAATCTCTCACTGCTGTTAGATTTTTTGAATAAAACAGCGTCTTTGAGTGCCAAAAGCTTCGAACTTTGAGTCTCCGATTCCAAAATTTTGATCAATTTGTGTGATTTTTTGTGATCGTTCAAATCGGTTTGGTTGATTTGCATTTCTGATTCGAACCCAGAATTTTGTTTTGGAAAAAAATTCATCTCTGCTGTTCTAATCAGTGTGACTCTCTTCGTCTTCCTCAGAATTCTTTTCTTGTTATCCGTCGAGTTTCTAGGAAAATGGAGGCCTCTGGTTCGAACGGCGCATCGATTGTCACTGACGAGATGGCGCTGAGGGGTTTGCTGGAGGCGTTCGGGCCCGCGTTTTCTCTCGATCAAATCGCTTCTGCGTATTGCAAGGCGGGGAAGAATGCTGACGACGCCGCCGAAGCTCTGGCTCTCTCTGCACCCGATGGCGGAGAAACTTCCAGATTACCTGTCAATAGTATCTATAAGAAGCCACCGTATCAGGCAAACGGGAATGGGAATGGGAATATGAATGGGAACGGGAATCCCGGATCTTCAAAGCCGAAATATCGGCCGGTTTCAGCTGGTAGCGTCTCGAACATTATTGGGAAGCATTATGTTAAGAAAACGGCGCCGACACCGGCAAATGGGTCTCGTGAAGCAACCAAGCCGTTGAAGCTGAACTCCAGTGTGTTGCCAATGTCAGAAATTTGGGTCGAAAACGATAAGTCTAGTTCTTCAAAGGATGATCGGCTCCACCAGGACATGGAGGATTTTCTGTTCAGTATGCTTGGAGTTGGGTTCAAGCTAGAGAGGGATCGGATTCGGCAAGTTCTTGGTACAGTTTTGCTCTTTTATTAGTTTTCTGTTTCATCCATTTCGATTTGCGTTGTTCTTTGGTTTATATATTTACATGAAGTGTTTGTATTTGTGAGTTTGACATGATTGTTGAACTTGTCAAGGATGATTCAAATTTTGTCTAGCATAATGTGGTTAGACACGCACTCACTCAGTTGAAGTACCGTGCACACTCTTGGTTATCGGAGTTGGGAGAGAAGATTGGGAAGAAAGAACATTGAAGAGTAGAGGGCAAGAGTGAGTTGGTCTAGAGAAGGAAGACGAGAATAAAAGTAGGATAATGATTAGGTTGGTGCAATGTATGATTATACCATAATTTACGGAAAGAAAACTTAATGCTTGAGGCATTTGAAATGTTGACTTTTGAGACACGATGAATTGAGTGTTGAATGTTTTGATTGCAGTCTGTTTGATGGTTGTAGATTTAAGATGATTATTTTGATTTCATTTCACGGATGTTAATGTGGTGTTTAAGAATTGTTTTATCAATGACCTTAATATGTGAACACTAATCCTGGTTTATTTGGACATGCAGATAGTTGCGGATATGATATGGAAAAGGTACACTAAACCCTCTTTACTTATCGAAACCTGAAAGCCAGTCTCTTTACAATTTTTGTAGCCTTTTCGTTACTCTAAGATGTATGTGCAATATAATTTTCCAATTTTCTAATGTTATACAAATATCTTTCATATGCTACACACTGAAAAGCTATGTATAGAAAGAGTACTTCTAAGCAATAACATTTTCCTTTTAATACCGTTCAGAGCATGGAAAAACTGATTAATCTGCCAGCATCAACTTTCGAAAAAAGGAACGAACTTGTTGGAAAATCCAGTGAGAAGGTTAGTAACACTTCCAAAACGGGATTTGTGTGCTTTCTGATTTCTACCAATAACATGTCAAACTGCATCACTGATGCACATTTGAATCAGTTCTTCAGAAAAGTAAATTCAATCTTAATTTCATATAAGGAGGTAATACTAAGAGAGCTCACACTCTACGGAAGTGCATAAATTAATTCAAGGATGCATTCATGCAGTTTTGTACAGCTCTTGTAATCGATATTTGAGTGTAAAAGTTTGTTATTGTTTTGTCATAGTTTTGGGGGATGGGGCATTTTGTGTAGCATTTAGGCTTTAGGTACAGTAAGATCTAGTCCATGAAATTGTTCCAGCATGCTTAGTAAATTCTACTTTGGTATTTATCTCCTTGCCGTCTTATTTGAGATTATTGTCCAGTCTGCAGATTTGTCCCTGAAATATAAAGTATCTTCTGACAGAAAATCCAAAAACTACACCGAAGGGTATTGCTTCAATACTTAGTTATAGTTCATTAGTTCCTAGTTTATTATATCAATCACTCTGACATGTCTATGCTCATCTCATGCAGTAACAGAGATAGGGCTTCAAATACAAAAGGAGCAGAAGTTACTGAACAGGAAAAGGAGAGAAATGATCTCCCGAAGGGTATTCTGGCTTCCTGTTTGGTGCTTCTGAGAGAACCGAGGAGACACCAGTGGAGCGACCAAGAAGTACAATAAAGGCAGGGAGTAGATATGGAGCCTATGGACACCTAGTTGCTGAACCTCCGCAAGATTTCATTTCAGAGTACAAGTCAGCTGTTGTGTATCAACAGCATCATGTCGAGGATGGTATGCACCCTTTTCTATATATGGGAGAAACTTCATTTCCCTAATACCCTTTGTGGAGGGAATGGTGGCCTTAGGAATTTATTCAATTCCTATGAAATCCAGATTAATCCAAAAGACAGACCTATTAAGGCAGTAGCTAAATTCCATGTGTGGTTGCTCAAGTCAATTTGCCTGTCAAATTTATGTTTATGTCTTGTATTTTCCTTCATGATTAAAGTGTGTTAGAATTGCAGACGCAGATGACGAAGATAGCTACCAGGGTCTCCGTAAGTCTTGGAAGGAGTATCGGAGTACAATGAACGACTATTACCAGGCTGTATGTAACTTTTTATGGCTTATCTTATGTGCAATTATTTGATATATAAAACATGGAGGGTAGAGTCTCTTAGTAGCCTTCAAATTTCACACTATCGAGTAAGGATATCAACTCTTTTGTTAGGCTGTAGCCGCATTTGCTAAGAAGGATCGTGATCAAGCTTACAAACTTCTAGAACAAGTAAGGTTTCTGTCTTTCTGTTATGAAGTGATGGGATATGAGTTATATTTTTTTCATGCAAATAACAGAAAAAACAAGATTCCCTGACAAAGAAGATAGCATCTTCCGACTGTTGCAAATAGCTTTTACATGCTTCAAAAATTGAACAAGGCGTACTGGCGTAGTAATATTTGCCTTGACAAAATGAATTTATAACTTCTATTGTGCTACCACAGGGACGTTTTTTCCTCGAAAAGGCGTGTGAAGTAGAGGAGAAGTCGAATGAAATGATTCTTAAACCTAGGTTAGCATCCGTTTTATTGATAGTTCTGTGGTGTGTGCTTTGACACTTTGTGGAAATTTGTTACTGGCAGTGTATAGGGTCCGACAATGCTAATTATCATCATTTTTCGTTTCCTCGTCAGAAATGTTGAGACACAAGGTGAAATAGTGCTTGACGTGCAAGAATGCGGTGCCAAGGAGGCAATACGTCTTTTGAAGTGTCAAATTTCCTCATTTTCTGGTATCTCATGTAAGTAATCGTTCTCGTGTTCCTATTTTTCTTACGATTTTGTTTCATGGTTACCGAAATTTTGTGTTATCTTCGAGTCAGCAATCAAGTTTCTTAAGGTCATATGTGATACAAAAGAGGAAGATATCTCAAAGGGGTCTCGAAGACGATCATTGGTAAGACTGGTTCATAACTACTTGGTGCATCTGTTTAAACAATTACTTGACTGTTGTATTTTAAATCGACGCAGATTTTGAAGCTACTGCAGGAAGAATCGATTAAGTGGACCGAAGGAGAAAATGCTGGAACAATACTAATCCACTTAGACACTGTTAATCGGAGACAAGTAACTTTTGTCAAGAAGAAATGAAATAAAGTGCTTTCTCGAAAAGGTGCTTATGAGATTGAGATTTAGGGATGATCGACAATCAAATCGTTGAAGGAGAGAGTAATTAACTTTTGCAACATGTGATTTAAGATTTTGAAAGGAGTTGGAGTGAATTTTTGTTCCAATTTATGAGGTCTACTTTCTTTGAGTAATGAAACTCTTCAATTACCAAAGAAAAAAGAACAGGCATTTGCATTGTAATGGCTTTGAACTAAAGTTTATTTCATCTTTTGGTTGAAAATATTGGTATATCTTTTATCTTTCTTGTCATACGGATAATGCTGTCTTACTAGACTTGTTAGATTGTGAATTTGCACCAAGCATTCAAGTAAAAACTTAACCATGTAAATCGTTTTTGTTTCTAATCTGACAACATAACATGTTATGCGTCAAGCATTGCAAGTAAACTTATTCAATTGTCACAATGGCTACTTCTTCCCCCTCAAATGTTCCAAATATACGTTACCGAATTAGCGCTTACTTTCTAATAAAATTCAAGGCGTGACGATGCAAGTAAGGTGTATTTTTGTTCACCGCCTTACCTATTAACATTTGATCAGTTTAAATTTTAAAATTTATATCAATCAACTACATATATTTTAAAATTTAATCTTATCAAACGATAATAAAATGAGATGGTAAGCATGTTAACAAAAACATTCTCTTTCCAATCCATAAAATCAGGTCAAATATTTTGGTAGCCCTGAATGATAAAGGGTGGTGTAATTCACATATAAGCAGCTTCAAAACCCTCCGTCTCTCGTCTGTTTCTCTCGCTTTTGGTTGTGGGTTTTCCGAATTCAGAAGACTCCGTTCTCCATGGGTGGCTCAGTGAAGGATGTGCAGTCGCAAAAGGAGCTCGATAGCTTGGTCCACGGCGGCTCGCCGGTGGTTCTGCACTTCTGGGCGTCGTGGTGTGAGGCTTCCAAGCACATGGACGAGGTCTTCGCCCACCTCTCCACGGATTTCCCGCAGGCCCATTTCTTAAGGGTAACGTTTCATTCTCTTCTCTGAAGTTTTTTGCTTTTTCTGTTTTCTGTGTGTGCATGTATATATTTTTGGTTTAACTTTTAATCTACCATTGTTTGTAATTTGTAGGTTGAAGCTGAGGAACAGCCGGAGATATCCGAGGCCTATTCGGTTTCCGCTGTGCCGTTTTTCGCCTTTGTGAAGGTATGCTTATTGGATTTATACATGTTTTCTTGGTGATTTTGATGCTGCCAGTTTGATTTTTTGAATGAGCATGATTACGTTGTTCGAATTCAAATTTGAGAAGAGAGTTTTGCATTTGGTAAATCTGGTTGTGTGAATGTGGGGTTTAGTGTCCAATTGCTTTTGGGTTGCGGGTGATTTAAATTTGAGTCTGGGGGCTTACTTTTTTTGTTTATTATATGATACTTGCAGCAGTATGATTGTTTCGAATGAGATTTAAGTACTCATTGGCTTCAATTATGATGGAAAACTCAAAATTTGAGAGAGTTTGGTGGAGATTCAATAGGAACACTTTGTTAGTTTGAGTGACTGGAGAAGGATAAGGATCTGTGAATGGTGACATGGATTGTGATGTGACTATCGGATAATAAAAGAAGCCTTATGTTACACCTTATCAGTTCGAATGACTACCCGCCCAAAGAATGATTTACTAGATGCGAGACAATTTTAGATGGTTTAGGATGATTTATGATTCATGAGTTTGGAAGATACTTAATCTAGTTGGATACGTGGTAAAGCTTGTTAATTTTGAATTGAGTGAGATAATTCCATATGATTGCTGTTTCGTTGTTGGTTTGGGTTCTCCTATTGTTCTGTATATTTTTCTTATCCTTGTCATGTTCTGTTTGTGCTTTGATTTTCCAGGATGGAAAGGTTGCGGATACATTAGAAGGGGCAGATCCATCCAGTTTGGCCAATAAAGTTGATAGGGTTGCTGGATCAGTTAACCCTGGAGAACCTGCTGCTCCTGCCAGCCTTGGGATGACTGCTGGACCAACCATACTCGAAACAGTCCAAGAGTTAGCAAGAGAAAATGGTTCTTCCCAGGTAAAAGTTCAAGCACAAAATGGTCCTGCTGATGCCTTGAAAAGGCGGTTGCAGCATCTGATTGACTGTAATCCAGTCATGCTTTTCATGAAAGGAAGCCCTGAGGCACCCCAATGTGGATTTAGCCAAAAAGTTGTAGACATTTTGAAGGAAGAGAAGGTCAAATTTGGAAGTTTCGATATTCTTTCAGACAGTGAAGTCAGAGAGGGGTTGAAGAAGTTTTCTAACTGGCCAACGTTTCCGCAGCTTTACTGCAAAGGGGAGCTTCTTGGTGGGTGTGACATAGCAATTTCAATGCACGAGAGTGGTGAATTAAAGGAAGTTTTCAGAGACCATGGAATTGATACTACCGATTCTGCTGGGGCAAAAGTAACTGAAGCTGGAAGTGGAAAGGGTGGAATCTCGGCATCTACTGGTGTGAGTGAAACTCTTAACTCTCGACTCGAAAGCCTGATTAATAAAAGCCCTGTTGTGCTGTTTATGAAGGGAAAACCAGATGAACCAAAGTGTGGTTTCAGCCGAAAGGTGGTCGACATCCTTGTGCAAGAAAAGGTGGACTTTGAGAGTTTTGATATTCTTTCTGATGAAGAAGTCCGTCAAGGGCTCAAAGTTTATTCAAACTGGTCCAGTTATCCTCAGCTATACATCAAAGGTGAACTTATTGGTGGATCAGATATTGTATTGGAGATGCAAAAGAGTGGGGAGCTCAAGAAGGTTTTGGCAGAGAAAGGGATTGTTCTGAAAGATACTCTTGAAGATCGTTTAAAGAAATTGATTAATTCTTCACAAGTAATGGTCTTCATCAAGGGCACACCCGATGCTCCCAGATGCGGTTTTAGTTCCAAGGTCGTGAATGCCCTTAGAGAAGAGGGTGTGAGTTTTGGGTCCTTTGATATTTTATCCGACGAGGATGTGAGGCAGGGGCTTAAAGTCTTTTCCAACTGGCCAACCTTTCCGCAGCTCTATTACAAAGGTGAGCTGATCGGAGGTTGTGATATCGTGATGGAGCTGAAAAGCAACGGAGAGCTTAAATCTACCCTGACAGAGTGAAGCGCAGTCTCGTTTTATCAAACAATCCTGGTTATCCTAATCTGATGTAAGTGTCTGCTGACATTAGACACATTCCAGTTTGCTTGAGGTGCTTTCTTACCATACACTTTCATATATGTTTTCTTGTGTAATCAGTGGTTACGTACTTCGGATTATTTATGATCAATCTGAGCAATATCAAGAAGTTTATCGGTTGCTGCTTGCTTGGTTATTTTTCTCGAAGAGGTCGAACTTGGCATCTGGTCGAAATAATTTTTAGAGGAAGTAATTTTTCAGTACCGTCTGCACTTCCGCTTAATTTTGTCACGTATTTTTTTGTTGATTTATTCAATCTAATAGCTGAAAAAAGGTAGACCGGTTCGAATGACATCCTTCAAATCGTAAACATATTCCATTGCTTTCATGGGTTATAACATTGTCACAGTACACAGCAAAAAATTTTACGAAATCTCAACAATTGCGTTTTTCACAGAAATTGTTCTACGGTTTTTAATCGATTTTGTGAAACTCCACAGAAACCGTCATAAAATCTATTTTCACAGAACTTTCACCACGCCCCTAAGCATCCAGAGATGTTCTGATCGGCGAAACTGTTCCGGAGATGTTCTCTTGTCACCGTTGAAACTGGGGACAATGGGCAGAGGGAGACGGTGGCTTCGTACTTGTCTTGGGATAATAATTTCTTCGCCATCGCCATCGCCATCGCCATTGCCATTGCCATTGAAATATGCTTCTGTAGAAGCTAGTTTTCTCTCATGGCAAGGATTTTCGCTGTCTCTGCGCCATCGCCGTCTATTTTATCAGCTTTCAGTCGATCCAAAACACTATTCACTTCTATACCCTCTCTTATATATGCCTTTAACAAAGCATGATACATGTGCTTGTTCACCGGGATGACTTTCCTCAATGCCCCAACAAAAGCTTCCGCATCTTCAGCACTGCCTTCGTCACCAAGCCAACTCAATAAGGTTGTCAGTGTCACTTCTCCGAGGTTCGGCTTCCATCTTTTCTCGGAAGACAGACGGAGGGCCACCTTCAAGCACTTAAAAGCCTTCTTCATCTCACCCTTATTCACATGCCCCGCCGCCACTGTTTCCCAACTTCTCGCTGTGGTTGCTTTTCCCTTCTCCATCAAGTCTTCAAGCAGAGCTTCTGCTCTCTCGTACAATCCCTTTACGGTGTAGCCTGTAATGACAGTTTGTGGCACCCGAAAATCGTAACAGTTTCCAGACAATTCCCACTCCTCCATCACCTTCTCAGCTTCATTGAGCTCACCGAGCCTCACCAGAGACACCAACATGCCCATATAATCCCTGTTTATGCATCTCTTACAAGCGCTCTTCTCAACACCCCATAACCTCAAAACTTCACCCTTACTTCCCATACTCGCATAGAGCGAAATCAGATGATTGTAGCCAAGTCCGTCTTTGTTATCTAGCCTCTCTTCCGACTTCTTTAAAGCATTCATTGCCTTATCGGTTTGGCCTTCTTTAACATAGAAATTGGCGACGACAGCATACGTGTTCCAGTCCATGACAATGTGAGGCTGGCTTTCCATCTCTTTAAAAACCTTTTCCATTCCTTCAAGATCAGACCTCACGCCATACGAATTGATGCAGATTCTATAGCTGAAGTTGTCCGGAGGAACATTGTTCTCCTTCATCTCAGCTAGAACGCCGGGGACCTTCTCATGCTGGCCAACATTCGTATACAAACACATGATGTCGTTGTAAGTAAGAGGCGAGGAAACAAATCCCATCTCCTTCATTTTGCGCAAATGAGCGACGGACTTATCCACTTTGCGCTGCCGGACATAGCAATTCAAAAGAGCACCATACGTCTTGATGTTCTTATCTTCGTCCCTCAAATTATTGAAATATTCTTCCGCGGAAACAAACCCACGTACCTTCCCAATCAAATCCAGCTGCACGGCATGCTCAACCGGCGAAAATATGCATATCCCCTTCTGATTCATCCACTCTGAAATCTGCAACCTATAACAGATTACTACGACAGCAGAGGAATTTCCAATTACTTGCGATACAAACAAACACATTAACTAACAAAAATCCTAATTCCCTCTTTCACTCACTTTCTTTAACTAAAATTTAGTTACTTTGATGCTTCTTCGAATTTTCTTTCATTTTCTGAGCAACCAAACAGGGGATAACACAAAGTACAAGGTAAGAGAGAAAGATGGAAACCTGGAGGGCTTGGGAGAAGCGTTTCCGCTTTCGGAGGTCGTGAATGATGCGCTGAAGCTCGGCGACTCGGACCTTGTTGCCATTGTAGACCCAGTCGTCGAGCTCTGGAACCACATTCAAGCTAGGGTTTCCGAGCGGGCTGATTTTGTTGTAGAGGGTCGGCTTCTTGGTCCTGCTCGTGTAGTAGGACCTGATCGCCATCGCATTTCGGATTAGGGTTCTAGCGAAGAGCTTCGGATCCATGATTTGGGGTTTAGGGTTTTTGGAGTTGGGGGAGAAGAACCAGAGAAATGAAAATGAAGGGCGGCTTTTGGAGGAAATTTGGAGGAAAGGGGCCTGATGTTTCTGAAATTGGGCCTTTTAAGTAAGAACTCATTTTCATTATCGCCGTAAAAATTTATTTGATTTGGAAACCGTTTAGTCATTTATATGTGTCGAACAAATTAACAGTTATGAAAATATGTGTTATTGTCATGATTAATCGTCAATTTCTTTGATTCACATAAATGACTAAACGGCCTTTAATTTAAAGGATTTGTCTGGAAATGATCTTTAGATGATGATGCAAAATATGAACAATTTCAATCAGTTATAACTTTTATACGATGAAATGATGTCACATGAAATATGACAAAATTAGTAACTTGACATAGCATTGTGACCATCACACCAAAAAGTTTCTCGTGAATTCGGTTTAGCTTGATGATTATTTTCATAATTACAAAACCCCGATACCAAAAGCTAGCAAACACTGCAGAAAAAAGGCAGCATGTTTATATGATACCCAAGATCCAAAATACATATCCCATAAAACCTGACCAATTTGTGTCGACCAAATCAACAGTTATGGTAACAATCAGCATCGAGCTTTGTTCCGATGGTCATCCATGTACTGAGCTACGCAATCCAACAGCTTATTTTCCAGTGTTCTGAACTGAGCTATTTGCACCTGCAGCTCCAACTGCTGTTTTCTCAGGTTCTTATTCTCCTCCATTAATAGCAGGCAATTGTTTTCTTCTGCTGCTGCCAGTGCAGTGCTTGTGCTCCCACTCTCTTCTGAAGCCTTCAGATACGCTGGAAAAGCACTTGGTTCGCATTTCTTCCTGGTGATCTCAACTAGCATGTGCCTGCAGCCCTTTTGGAACTTTTCATGCTTAAATTCCCACAGTTTTGGTGATGTTTTCTTGAATCCCTGCTTTTGGTTTTGAGGGTTAGAATCACAAGTTGAATTGCCAAACTTTTGACTAATGTAATTCATGATCGGAAATGCTTTTATAGGCAGTGCTTTTGCTCATAAGCAAACACAAACCAACCCTAGGGTTGAGAGTACTGTAACCCACCGAGTCATGAGATAAAAAGAAGAAAACCTTGATATATGTAGCGTATCCAAATGGGATTAAGGACATACTTGGGAGAGACTTTTTAGTACGCCAAAAACACGATCTGGTACACCAAGTGTAATGATATAATTGATTGAAAACTTGAAAAAACAAATTTTCCAATTAGTAGTAATACTTAGTGTATCAAATCATGTCATCGGTACACTGAAAAATTTCTTGCATATTTGAGATGCTGCACTAAAAACATGCACAAGTGCTTTGACTAGACGCACAACAAAATTTACTAAAATTCTTGTCGTTGGATTAAGAAAACAATTTTCTTTTGGGAGTATGGTACTTTAGACAATTATTCGTGCAAAAGGATAAAGGGAACCTACCACGACTGCACTTGTTTATTCCAAAACCAAATTTGACCATTGGTGCTAATGCTTCCAAATTAGACAAGGATGAGAAATAATTGATTGAAAATGATTAAGATAAGTACAGTAATATTTTACAAATGGATCTATCTTGGAGATTCTAATTGCAATCGGAAAATTTTATTTTGCCTCTCTCACATCACGTCAAATTAAGTAACAAGAGATTTAAAGAAAAACTTTTTAGTTAAAATAGTATCTGAACTTTACATAACTCCTTACTTTGGTCCATGAGATTTAAAATCGAAAAAGTGATTTCTGAGTTTATCCACCATCAATTATTTTGATTATTTTATGAAAAATCTCTGTTAAATAAGTAAAATGATTGACGGTGAACAAATGTAACATCCCACATCGTCTTAGGGAGTGGATCCTTTAAGCCTTATATATATATATATATGTATATATTCTCATCTCCACCTAACACGAGGCTTTTTGGGACCTCACTGGCTTCGAGTTTCCGTAGGAACTCCGAAGTTAAGCGAGTTCTTGCGAGAGCAATCCCAGGATGAGCGAGTTCTCGCGAGAGCAATCCCAGGATGGATGACCCACTGAGAAGTTCTCGTGTGAGTTTCCAGAAACAAAACCGTGAGGGCGTGGTCAAGGCTCAAAGCAGACAATATCGTGTTACGATAGAGTTGAGCCCGAGATGTAGTGGGGATCCGGGCCGGGATGTGACAACAAACATAGGGACCATTTTTATGAAAGTCAAATCTTTATGTAATTTCAGAGACTAGTTTAGCTCAAATGTCTTTAAAAAAAAAACATATGAGAGAGTAAATACGCAGTTACACCAGGTTTTTCTCATGGTCGGTAGAAGTTTATGCTTTATTATTGCTCACGTAACTCAAAACTATTGCAGTCTGTAGAGTGTAATTATTTTGACCAATTAAAACTATCACAAATTTTTGACTTTCACAATAATTTATATATTCTCGTTGACTAGTGTTATACGGGGAGAGAGGTATACGCAACAAAGATAACCATCGTCTTCAATCCATGAAATCTTTGAATGAGTAGATCACTCAATGCTTTGAACGAGTAGATCAATGAATGCAAAAAGCTCTGCAGAAATCAAAACATTGACCCTTTTTGCTGATCGACGAACGTTAGTATTCCGGCGGGTAAAGGCTGTTTGCCCAACAAAATACCGTTCGTCGGTCAAATGATATTTCTGGTAGTGATGGTTCAAACCCTAGATTTTTTTTCTTTATCTATGAATTACTGGGTTCTTGATCAAGTGATCAGAAATAACCAAACAAAAGAAATTTTCTAAAAGCTTTCTAAACCTTAAGTATATAACATAGATATAATTTTCCATGTATATACGTTCTTTGTATAATTAAAGCAAATAGATGAGGTTCTGATTTCAAATCTGATATACGGAAATGGTTGAAATAGAAAGATAAGGGCGGGCGACTCACATAGGTATTAAGTTGGCGAATGAAGCTGGAGAAGTTGTTGTGCTTGAAATATTTAGGCAGCAGGAGCTCTGAGAAATCAGCAGGAGACCATACTATAAATCCAGTGCCCTCTACATTCCATGACACAATATTCCTCTTCCCACCACCATCTCCTCCGACATCTTGTTCTTCTAGCAGATCAAACGTCTTCGACAGAAACGGGGCGGCGCTTCTTGTTCGGGAAGAAGTTTCAGCCATCTATGGCTGGCTAGCTAGCTTTTGAAACTTTTGTTTCCACAGAGTTCCTAAAATATTCTACACTGTACCAGCCTCTTATTTATGCCATGCTTTCACCCTCGAGCTTTTGGAAAGTACTAGCTAATGGCGTGGAACGTTGACTGCTTCCTTTTAACTTTCTTTTACTTTAAGTTTGTCAAGTTCATGCAACTTTCCCAAAAAACCCAATTTAGCTTTTTTTTATTTTATTTTTATTTTTATTTTTATGTAACAAAAGTAGATGGAGGCATATAAATTCATTTGTCTCATGTTGGACAATGACAAGTGGCGGATTAAAAAAAAATTGTACTCGTAATTGTAGGTTAGAAAGAGAAATACTAGCAAAGATACAATAACGTATTAGAATAAATTTACTCCGGCCCTTTGGGAGTTATTCTCGTATATGGTGCTATAGTATATGTTCTAAGGGTTAGACTGCGTAGTTTGCCAATTAAAGCGGTACACAACTTGGATTTAGAACGTCATAAAAGAATTCATTACTATTTGGTGTGGATGTCAAAACGTTGTGAAGTAAATAATCTTGCATTTTGTTGTTATTGTACCGTTTATTCTAGTTCTTACCGCAACAAGCAATAGGAAGTCAGGATGTTATTGTCGTCAACACATCTTTTCCTGAAAATTATTTAATGGGTATCATATACAAATAAGATCCTGAATTAGATAATATTGTGTAACAATCTATGTTATGGGATTTACATATACCCATAATTGCTGTTATAATTGAAATTGGGAAGGATCTTGATATTTCAAAAAATAAGACAATTTCATATGTTGCAACATAAAACATGAAGCAATTGCATACATTGGTTTTTATGTAGATCCGCTTATAATGACATTGATATTTCTTTAATTTTATATTAATAGAAATATAGTTTATATGATTAAACAAAATTTCTAATAATTGACTTGACTAAGCATCTAAATTAGTACACAATACTTGAAAATCCAATTAGGTAATGACCATAAGGCTCTTTTATAATAAAAACTCAAGTAGTGGTGTATAGAAAATCCTTGGGAGAAATAAAAGAGGAAATTTTAGGGTTTTGGGTGCACAGAATGATTGTGTAGTCTTCAGTCACCCCAATGGTAACCCCGCCACCCCACCAACCCCAAGATATTCAAACATTGAAAGGATAACCAAAAGGCCGCGAACTCTGACCCATTTTTGGAACAATTTGGCAGAGTTTCAGGTGTATTTTTGCGAATGAAGATTCTTTTTGGATTTTTTTTTGTGAAGATTCTGAAAATCTTTAAATTGTATTTGTTCATTATAAATCATGTTTGATCACTCGAAAAACGATGAACGAATATAATTTGAAGATCTCTAGGATAATTTCGAGATCTATATATTACGTAGATCACGAAATTTAAACTCATTTAAAGGTAATAAATAAGATAATAAACAACACTATCACTTGAGAGTCGTGTGCAAAATTTTTTTATTTGAATACATTTTTTAGAAATGAGGGAACTCTCTTAAAAGTTGGAATTTTCATGAACTCTCTGCTCCCTCATGGTTTAACATCAATTTTGTGCTAATATTATAAAGCATTGTGTGAAAAACATAAAGTAACAGAAAGTACATAAAATTCTACTTTTTAAAATGGGAAAGAGATCCTTTTCGGATCTCTTCCTCTAAAGCTCAAGGATCAAATAATCACGGTATTTAAAATTTGATCAAACGGCTAAAAACATATAAGTTAGGAAAAAATTTAAAAGCTATAATAATATTTCACCGTTTGATCAAATTTTTAATAGTCCAGATTACTTGATCTCTGAGTTTTGGAGGGAGAGATCCGGAGAGAATCTCTTTCCTTAAAAGAGTCCTGTTAGTACTTCTTTAAAATTTTCTATATGTAAAAACGATATAAAAGTGGTATTGATTAAAGAAATCAGATACAGTGCTTTAAACAGCTTACCGACCAAACAGAGTCATGAGATTAGTATATCAAAAAGTACAGAAAATGATCCTCTCCGAATCCTCTTTGTGGAAATCCGAGGAATCCATTAATCATAATTGTTCATCGTACATCGTGCGGTTAGTTTTCATTAGATACTATTTATATTCAATTTAAAATTTAAAATTTAAAATTATGTATGATGAACAGCTGTGATTGATTGATCCCCGGATCTCCACAAAGAGTATCCGAAGAGGATCCTTTTCCAAAAAGTACAATATAAAACCAAGGACTAATATAGTAGGCTTTGATGAATTAAGGTTCGGGCTTTTTAGTCAAAATAATCCCTTAGATTGGCATAAATTTTCACTTGGTTCTTGAAATTTGAAATCGATAGAAGTGGTTCCTAAGTTTTGTCCATCATCAATCATTTTAGTCATTCGATATAAGTGGTTCCTAAGTTTTGTCCACCATCAATCATTTTAGTCATTCCATGAAAATCTCCATTAAAGATAATAAAATGACAAAAATACCCTGAATTTTTGTCAAATCATTTTGACATTGTTTTAGAAGAGAGTATTTTTGTCTTTTTGATCCTTACTTAACATAATTTTTCATGGAATGACCAAAATGATTGATGTTTGACAAACTCAATGACCACTTCTATTGATTTCAATCTTAGGGATCAAAGTGAAGAGTTATGCAAATTTCATAAATCATTTTGGTTAAAATGCCTTAAGGTTAGTCCGAGGTAAAAAAAAACCAATAACACCAGGGGGGATAAATACTGAGACTTGAACTTAAATTCTATTTTTTTTTCTTTTTTCTGATTCCAACTTTAGCTGAAAATTGTTGAGTTAAGAGCGTTTATCTCTACATCGGATTCACCTTTCTTATTATTGCTTGTATAAAACAGAAGTTCATGGAAAGCTATGGACAATGACATGGAATGAGTTATAAAAATTGTATGTTTAGTGTTTTTATTTTATTTTTTACTTTTTAACAAACAATATTATCTATATTAAAGGAGACGAGGGTTTAGCCTCACAATGGGCTAGCAATAATGTAATTCAGATTTGCCTTTGGCGAGAATCGAATCTAAGACTTCTCACTTACAAGGGGGCGGTATTTAGTGTTTTTATTATGATTGTTTTAACTAATCAACATTTGTTTATAATATTTGAGTGAGCAATTATGTGTGGAATCTTGGTCATGTGTTTCAAATTTTAAAAAGGAACTAACGAAAAGTATAAAAAAAATTTAGTTTTAATGAAAAATGACAAAAAAATGTATAGTGAATAGTACCAGGAAAAGATGAAAATATGATTTTTTTTATTAAAAATGAACAGTATCGGAAGTGTTTCGTTAAAACTTCCCATTAAAAAATGGATGGTGCTTAAAAAGTCATTGAAGATTCCAGAAGTGAAATCATGTGAGTTTTTGTTTCGGAATCATATAATCTACGACGTGTAACTGGATTTAGTCTTAATATTTTTCAATACGGTGCGCCAAACAAAGCTTAATCATTAAACAAAACGTAAAAGATATATGGATGCTTCAAAAACCAATGATTTTTTTCTAATGTACATTAGAAGTGCGTGGTTAACATACTTATCGGAAAGAGCCGTTAGATTTCGTAAAGTTAAATAATCTTACAGCTCACTTTTAGATGTATAAGTTAAATGTACATTTTGATTTGCATTAGAAAAAGCATAGAAATTCCGACCACATATGGGCCTCACCCTCCTTTTACTACCATTAGAATAAGCATACTGAGGCCCATCTCTCTCTCATACTCTCTTTCTGGGCCAATAGGCCCACTCATCACCCAGCCGCTGTCCCTTGTTTGACGGACTATTACTCGAGACTACTTTTTTCAAGTTAACTACTGTGGAGTGTAACCACCACGTGACGGTTAAGTTGTCGGGGACAAATTTTAGATTTGTATTTTATGTTGTAATTTTTGGATTTAATGTCTAGGGTTAATAAATAAATCACACGCTAGCTTGATATGAAGAGTTTGATATGTTAGTTTATCTCTATGAGTCTTTTTGGCTTAAAAAAATGAATTATCGTAATGAAGCGACTAGTTGTTCTCATTTTTTTTTTAAAACAAAATTACTGTAGAGTCGATAACAATTCTTTTGCGAAACTATTTCCAAGGCAATTTTGAGTCTTAACCATCGCTTGGCCGTACAAATAATTAATAACTTGTACACAAGTATAATTAAAACATCTTTCTTAATGTAGACGGTGGTTAAGTACAAGCATACAATAGCTAATTAATATCATTCAATGAAATTGAAAGAAACCGTCACGAGATGAATCAGTTGTTGGAGATGAATTTTATACTTGTATTTCACATAACACGTCATGAGTTTGATTTCTAGCACTGGTGAATCGCAGCCACCAGTGAACGCTGAAATTTTGTGAATCTTTTAAACCCTCAAAAGAGTAGATTGTCATGGCAAAACCATCGGCTAATCTTTTTTTTTTTTTTTTTTTTTTTCTTTCAAGAATGAAACGGAAAGAAAATTGGGATTCAAGTCTATAACTCTTTGAGCTTAATAATACAACATAATCTCATTGACCAATAAAAGGACATAAATTTCAATGTGGTTGAGTGGGCCGGTCTTGAATATGATGTGAGGATTTTCAAACGCTGGCATAATTATAGGTGGCCACTTTGATTTCTGATATCCATATGCGTTCAGAATGTCAAGCGACACAAATAAATAAGTGGACTTAAAACACATGTGGTCGCAAATAACAACTTGTTGTGGCTAAACCCTATTTGGTAAACGGGTGAAAAAAAGACGTGTACGAAAAATTTGTGAATGATTTGTAGCTCTGTTGCTTAAGAGCATTTTTTTTGCACCAAATTATTCTATAGTTTGTCAAAAAAAAAAAAAAATTGTGAATGATTTATGTTTATATGTTTAGATACGTTAAGCTCACGAGAGTAAAATTTTGAGTTAAATATAATCTCATACGACATGAAAATGGCACTTTGCAATTTTAAAACAATACTTGAAAGATTTACCATTTGATGCAATCAAATGTTGAAGGCCCAAATAAATGGATATAAACACATATCATGTAGTATAATGACATAATACGAACATGACATGTTGTCAGGCTTACTATTTACGACATTTAAACGCTCGAATGTTAAACAACAAAAATAAGTGGACCTAAACCACATGTCTTAGTAGTACAAAGCTTAAACACTTAATAGGTAAATAGGTGAAGCACGATATGATGCATTTACATAACTTACAAATGGGTATAGGTTTATATATTCTGGCATGAGTCCATGGATCGAGTTTAAGTTGAGCCGAATAATTTTACAAGATATTACAACATAACGCAACAGATGCTAAAATACGACAGATCATTAGGTCAAATATGTAATAATTGATGCAATGGAGTGTAAAACGACAAACTTAAGTGGACCTAAAACAAATGGCAGCTGACAAGCAAATCAAATAGACAAACCTTATCGATGCATATCACTCACTACCTCACACTGGCATCAACTAAAGATTGCAACATCAAATCAAATGAAACTTTAAACAAAAGTTTTTGATATTATTCATTTTAACAAAAAAATCACATTTTTATACTAAAAAGTCAATCTTGATACTATTCACTTTACCCTTTATTTTATCCTTATCGTTAAAACTCAAAGATTTTAAGTCATTTTCATTAATTTTCCTCAAATCAAGTAGGATGTGTAAAGTTAACGTTTTAAGCCGAGGGATGATCCACAGTTGGGTTTTGGGTGCCCAAATTGATGACAGACACCACCACACCAGCATTATCATCACACTCAACACATTTGGGGATGCACATTCAACCACAGATCTCTGTGTCCACCACGATCTAATTTCATCATCACAAAGTTACAAACCCTTTCGGTTGAGGATTATATAAGATTCTTGGATTTAAAATTACGAGAAATTCTGACATATAATCAATTGTTTATTCTTTTATTAACATTTCTCTTGTTATGTATTATGTATACTTTAGTTACACCGTAGAAATTTCTCGATGTTAGGAGTAAAACAACTCTTTTGTTGCAGCAACATAAGAGTCAATTTGTTTTGGACATTGTGGTCAGTGACGCAAAAAGTTTATTGGTTTGGCCAACAGCTTTTGATCAGGGATTGGTAATAAAAAAAAAAATGTTGAAGATGATGTTTTTGGAGTTGAGATCCTCACTGAGTTTCAGTTTGGAACCTAAGGATCAAGAAATTTTGACCATTTAAATTGAATCTGACGGTTATCATAAACTCATTCCACTGACCCATCTCACACAAACCAAGGGCTCGGAACTCTCTCTCTCTTTTTTTTTTTGAAACAGTCTATATTTCCTGATCTTTGAGTTCCGGACAGTGAGGTCTAGAGATGCTTCAAATTCGTGTTTCTAGGTTGAGTATAACCAACTTAATGTTGTTACTTGTACATTTCAGTGGGAAAGTGGATGGGTATAGGTGAACCAATTGCCAGAACGTTCATGACCACCTGCCGAATTGAGGTTGATGGAATAACTTCTGGGGCGAAATGCATGCACCCATCGTCAATAATGCATGAAACAACGTATATAAGATTGCTACGAAAATATGATAGATGAGTAGACATAGCACGCGTAAGAAGTCATTTTTTTTTACCAAAAATTGACAGATGCGCATACATTTCTCATTTTGTAGACAAACGTGCATACATTTCTCATTTTGTAGACAAACGTGCATACATTTCTCACGTTGGAGTTTGAGTGAAATATTTGTGTATTCTTGGCAGACTGCGATTCCCGGTTAATCACTCGAGCAATAATTCATTTCTTATTCCCCTATCTTACTATTGAATTCTCCTTAGTTTCTGGCTCCACCACCACCACCCACCCCAATCTCTCCCGTTCTTATTGGTCAACACACCAAAAAATGGAAATCAATCATTAAGATGTGTCAGGATTCACCAAAAGCAATATATAGAGCTTGTCTGGCTGATTGGATTGGTAAAAGCACTTTTGAAAAAACCTCATAGGCTTGGCCTCTTGTTACAACGGGGGATAGAATTTCTAGCTGTAAGCCTGCACTATATGTGACCAAGTTGGCTTAGAAGAGACCCACTGTGAAATAATTGTTGGCTATTTAGTATGGACCCGCCTCCCTCCCAAAGCACTTATTAAAACCAGCTTTTAAGCACATCTTTAATTTAATTATACTTTGATTTGAAATTGAAATTTCCTAAGATTATTCAATAATGTTAGTCATACGTTGATGTAATCTCCAATTTTTGCCTAGACCCACTTAAAATAGCAATCTTGGATGCCCCCTTTTTTTCTTTGCTACCAACGGAGAGATTCTTACTGATCACTGGGGGATGTATCACCCATCTGTCTATATGGCTCATCTCTTGAGGCGGATGAGGATATATCTTCAGTGACACTTGCGTTTTTCTCAAATCAGCGATGTTGAAAAAGACAATGATAAAACCAAAACTGAGGATGATTTTGAATAAAATCTCTAGAATTTGTAGCTGTAAGCCTGCACTGCATGTGACCAAGTTGGCTTAAAAGAGACCCACTGTGAAGGAAAAGGATCTTTTCTTAGGGATCATAGAGATTCCACAATTATGTTCGTTCATCGTATATTGTGTAGTAAAAAATTATTTAAAATTTAAAATTCAAATATAAATAATACTTGATGAAAATTGATCTTACGATGTACACTAAATGAACATGATTACTAAATTCCTAGAAAAAGTATCCGGCTAATTTCCCTTCCCCACTGTGAAATAATTGTTGGCTATTTAGTATGGACCCGCCTTACCTCCCAAAAGCACTTATTAAAGCCAGCTTTTAAGTACATCTTTAATTTAATTAATTATAATTTGATTTGAAAATGAAATTTCTTATATTCAGTAATATTTGTCATTCGTTAATGTAATCTCTAATTTTTGCCTAGACCCACTTAAAATTGGAATCTTGATGCCCGTTTTTTTCTTCGGTACCAACGGAGAGATTCTTACGTATCACTGGGGGATGTATCCCCATCTGTCTATAGGGCGCATCTCCTGGGACGGATGAGGATATATCTTCGGTGACATCTGCGTTTTTCTCGAATCAGCGACATTAAAAAAGACAATGATAAAACCAAAACTAAGGATGATTCTGAATAAAATCTCTAGGATTACTATTACCCCATATATTTCAAATCTAATGTCATCTATCTATGTTCCCAAGCGTTAATTATACAGTATACAAAATGGCAGCAGCAGGAGAATGACCAAGTCTCTAAACTTCAGAAGACAAGAAGGCACAAAAGCAAGCAACAGAAGAGGAAAATAGATATTCTGTTTAGTGACTTGTCTGCCTGCATCTCGTGCCTCCTCAGCCTCGGAGTACTACTTCCAGTTAGGTGATACGAATTTGGATACCCATATACGCTCTGCGAGTTTCCGAACACCCTTGAATAAACCATTTCCCCAAACACCCCAACCGCCGGATGGTGGATACCTGCCACTGCAGTGCCTCTGAGGTCAAGCAGCGGCGAGGAAGAATGTTCCCCTAAACTGCTGTATGAATGAGGGTTATATTGTTGGTTCTGATAAGGGTTACGATACGGAAGTTGCTGGACCGTCTGAGAGGTGCTAGATATGAGAGCTTGTGCATCGAATGCTGATGGTCTGGGAGGTATTACCATTCCCCCGTAGAGTGCTACCTTTCCTTCAAACTCAGGTTCAGAAGTTGCTTGGCCCCGGCCATAAAGTGGGACCATGGTAGTGTGTGATATATCAGCCTTGCAAACAGGGCACTGAGGGCACTCATCGGAGGCAAGGGACGCACTCTGAACATGAAGCCATTTGTAAATGCAAGGCCAGCAATATAGATGGCCACAGAAGGTGACCACTGGCTCGTGTGCAAAGTCTAAGCAGATGTTGCAGTCAAAGCCACCTTTGGAATTTTCTGATTCTGTTGTTTCTCCGGCGATGGATTTGCATTCGTGTGCAAAGTATTGCTGCAACGCCATTTTTCGGTTCTTCTAATTTGTTTTTTTCACCAATACTGCAAAAGATAAGACAAATGAAACCAGTTTAGTAGCAGGAGTTTTCTGAAGCTCCCTCATCTGATGTTCTACCTTGCAAAACAATCAGAAAGAAAATCTAACAAATGGAAGACAAGACAACTGTTTGCGAGAAAGAATAGTATGCACAATCACGTTGTGAGAGACAAATGAAACCAATTCAGATACAATGGTAACTACAAATAGCACCCGCTCATAGCACCTTGGATGTAGTTTTCTGCCCATTTAGGTTTTGCTTCCTAATAGTCGATTTTAAGTTTCAACCCATTCATATAGGCTTATGTAACAGATACCACCGGAAACTGTTGTACACAAACAGTTATGTTGGAGTTGAGATCTAACAACACAATTAGCAGCAACAATTCCTCAACTTCAACAGAGCATCTAAATTGCTATAGAACAGCGAAAGAAAATCACTGGCTACTGACGAGGAAACTGAACCAACCCCAAACCCTCCATCAAGAAGAACACAAAAACCAACGATATTTTCCGGTTTTTCTCTCACCCCAGCTCCATGGTAGACACAGATCTGAAATAAGGGATTCAACCGACAGCGATTCAAGGCATATCACACTTAGCTGATCAACCTTGTTCAAGCCTATACATCTCACTACCACCCTCAAAGTTGTGGGAAACCCCTCCAGCATGAGGTGAAGTACAACAGTCAAAGCAAATCATAATAAAATTCCGATATATAACCAAATATAAACCCCGAAAAGACGAAGATGCATACCTACATGCTCCTAAACAGTTTGATCAAGCTTAACATGCGCTTCGAAACCATATCTCACAAACCTATCATAGAATTGAACAGGATTGAGTCAAAGAAAACCCCAGAAGCCTCACATCTCTTGGCCTACAATCTAGCGTCAGATCACTGTAAACCAAGCATTCAATACTATGGCACCCTATCCACATCCCCACAAGAAAAAAAGACACCATTTTTGTGTTGTGATAAAAGGCAAATGCTTGAGAATTGTTTCTCAAACAAACAAACTTCCCAAGCATTTCCCTTTTCTCTTTCCCCAAACCACTTTCCCAGCAACCAAACAAGCCCAAAAATCCAAACATGACAAATTTGCAAGCAGAAACAAAGCTAGATCTGCGGCTCAACAAATCAAACCACAGAAACATCCTCCACAAAACCCAAAACCCACAAATTTTACTACTATTTCAACGTCCTCTTCAAGTTTTTTCAGCTCAACAGAGAAAAGCAAGGTGAACTTCAAGAACAAATGCACCCAAAAAAGAAAAAACAGTAAAAAACAAAAAAATTACAGGCGTACCGTGAAGAGAAACGCAGAAGTTCGGCACAGAAATTGCTTTCAGTCTTACTACTATCCTTCCTTCCTTCAAAGCTTCAATCTTTTTTCTGGGTATCTCGGAAAGTTTGCAAGTCGAGCTTTTATGGCTATTTTTAGCAGAGAGACGGAGAGCGTTGGACAGGAGGACGGGGATGGGCGTGCCGTTCGTCTTGCTTTTATAGGCAAGTGCCACTTTCCGCTGCTTGACGCGCGCGTGACTCCAGATTTTATAAATTTTTCTTGGTAAACATAAAATATTGTCTTTGTCTTTGGATAATATTTCGGTTAATGTGGATTGGCAAATAAAAACCCACGCTTGATTTTCGGGGTCAACGTATTGGTAAACATGGACTAGTAAAAGTTGGACTCTTTTTTTTTTGGATAAAAAGTTGGAAAACACTGAGATTCTTGTGTTGTATGTAATCCAATCGTTCTGTTATAACAACCGTCTAAATTAAAAGAATTTATATAGAGTTTTTCTTAAACGGATATAGATATTTTCTTTAGTGAAAGGTATCAGGTTCGATTCTCATTAAGAACGAGTTTGTATCACATTATTTTTAGTCTATTGTGACACTAAACTCACCATCTCCTCTTAATATAGATAATATCACTTGTTTCAAAAAAATAAAACAGCAAAGATAATAAAGACTTTGCAGTACATGTCGGAGTTAGGTCATTGTACAATCATAGAATGTTACTCTTCATTTGCAATTTCGTACAGAGCAAAAGAGGAGGAATCTAGCCCGTAAACTTCTAGCCATCCATATACCATTGATACCTAATTAGAGAAAGCAGAAGCACCAACGATGGAGACATGAAAACAAACTCAACGAAAAGAATATAAGATAGAAAGGGAAAGAAAAAAAAAATAGAACCCTTTGCCATGTAACCTATGATACCTCACATTTCTCCATTTTCACCAACTTAATGACAATATTATTCTAAGAGTAGGATTATCTCCCTTTTAAATTTTCCCTTTCTCTCATTCTACATAAACGATCACAATTAAGACACGTCAACATATTTTGTTGACTTCTTTATAGAAAGACAAAAAGAAATGTGAGAGAGAAGGGAAGGTGAAGGGAACGGAATGTGATTGTGTAAATTTAAAATATGAATCCCAATAGGATTTGGAGATCCTCGTAAGCTTTGTATTACTTATAAGACAAGAAAGTTCATCATATTAAATATAAATAATGAATAAGTGTCATAGTGTGAAATAAAATTCTCACACACAATTGAGCCGTTCTCTCTTTATGTTGTCCCTCTCTCTCACCCACTCTTAAAATTAGTTTACAACAATAACGTAGTTATGAAAGGAAAAAAGAAATGTTTTTATCACAATTGGGTCCTTGAAATTGGACAAAATGGTCCAAGAAATATTGGTCACTTGAAAATGGGTCCAGCAAATCAATTTTGTCATTCCGTTACATTCTGTCAAATTTTCTGTTAATGTGCTAATGTAGCACATGAATATTACCGACCGAATTCCTCTGACCCTCTCCAAACTTCCTCGCCAATCGAACGCAGACGTTGGATTATACTCAAAGATAACATCATAACAATATTAAGCAATTGGTGGAGTAACAATATATAACCGGCTGATATGAATTATGATGAGTTCTTCTATTACCCTAACACACACATTCAAGTACTTGGGAAGTAGAGTATTAAGCCCGTGTCCTTGACCAATGACCACATGGAAGAGGATCTTCTCCATATCTATTTTGTGGGGATCTAAGAGATCCCTACATTTTAACGGTTTATCGTATATCATGTGACTAGTTTTTGTCAAATACTATTTGTGTTTAATTTAAATAAAAATACCAATTCCTAACCACATAACCAAATCCCATCCCCAAATTTTTTTTATTGTGACTGGAACACGAGTGGTATACCATATGTTTTTATAGAAGTGGTGAGAAATTTTATTTTTTTAGTTGTTAACTTTTTAACACACATATCCCACCATTGTATAGTGACACGTGATGTATCACTCCGTGTACTGATTACACTGAAAAATCTCTCATCCCACCCATATACCCAATTAATTAAGGGAATTGTTATTAGCACTTCAAAAATCTCATTATACACTCCTTGTAAGTGTATTTTTCTTTCCTAATATAAAAAGTTTAGAGTATAGAATGAGATTTTTGAAGAGCTAATAATAATTCTCTTAATTAATTCAATAATAATGATAATATCAATATTAATATCGTTAATAACTTACTAATATAATAACTTAGCATGACATAAAGTAAAAGTATAAAGTCACATAAAATGAAAGCGGCTTTTCGTAGAAAACAAAATAATAATAACAAAAGGAGCCGGTCCCTCATGTTTATAACTTTTATTCTAGATTGTTACATAAAGCCACATAAACGTTCCCATTTAACGGTACAAAGTTACGGCCTCATGAAGAGCATCTTCAAATGAGACAATAAAATATCAAAATCAGCAATAACGGTAACAAAAGATAGTATTAATATTTTCCAACCGAGAAGTCAAATCTAATGTAGCATGACATAGATTGACATCTATTCTCCTTACTGCCAAATTTGACAACATCTTCAAAAATTTTAATTAATTATTAAATGCTTTTTATTAATTTTTTATTGGTTTAAACCATTATCATTTTGTTTCTTTTCATTCCTAATGCAAAGAAAATACATATGAATTATTATTTTATATTTAAAATTTGACATATCAATTAAAGATCAAAAATTTAAAAATGCTAAAATACCACGTAAACATTCAAATTTAGATTTTAGGTTTACAATGCGAAGGAGATGGTAGACGGCACTAAATGACAAATTGACAAGTCACGACAGAGTTACTAAGGTATTCCCGTCAAAGTGCTAAATTGTTGTCTGACTTTACTGAATAAAAAAATAAATAACAACAGATATAATAGTGTTTTAATAATTAAATTAAGTCGAACAATTTCCAGCTTTCCCGTATCGTTCACTCTCCGCTTCCAGAAGCCGGAAGAGAACCGCACCTACGAAAGACATATCTCTGACGTACGAGATTGTTTTTTCTTGTTAGCATTTTTTGAAACACGGTTAGGAGTGATTTACATATTTTAAATATATTTTATATGAGTGGATTGATAAAAAAAAGTTAAATATTTGAAGTAAATAAATAATCTTAAATCATGCTAAAAAAAATATCTTACAAACCAATTAAAGCAGTTGAATTCACATTATGATTAGAGAAAATAATATTTAATAAATAACTGATTGAATCACATTATAATTAGCTCATTGTGAGGCGAAGCCCATATTGTTTGTTCAAAAAAAAAAAAAAATCATTTGACAACTAATTTAATCACATTATTATGCGCGTGCAAAAGACATTTTTTATAATTGACATTACACGCTTTTTAAGATGTTTTGAACGTATTTAAAAATAGAGAAAATAATATTTAAAGAACGACTGATTGAATCACATTATTGCTAACCTATTGTAAGATACTAATTAAAAAAAGTATAAAATTAATTATTAAAAAACAATGGTAAAATGACAAAAATACCCCTGCATTATTTTGAGCTGTTTTTGAATTTTTTTGTTTTGGGGGCATTTTTGTCCAAAAAATTTTAGTGAAGCTTGTGGCTTCAGAAGGAGTTGTTGACTTTATATATAAAGATATATAAATACAGAGAGAGCTTGCAACTATACATAACATCACTTGCGAAGCCAATGAAGTTTTAACGTTGAACAAACCTAAGTGATTCATTTTAATAATGCATTATGAATCCCAAAGTAAATGTTTATGACAATCGTTCATGCGAAAGGCAGACGTGTGTGGATACAAGGACTAAACTGCTAGATTAAGCTCGAGAGGGATATTTTCCGCCAACTGAAAATTTATGTAGGACCTAGTGCATAATGAAGTTGGGTGGTTAGTTCGGATTAGGGCAAAGTATACAGAGGTGCGGCCTTGATTGTGTCAGGTCAAAGATTTAACGGATTTTTTTTTATGAAATTAACAAAAGATAACAAAGTGAGCAAAAATTGAATTTCATATGCAAAGTGAGATGAAAATAAAGTTCTAAATATAACAAAAAGTAAACCTAAAATTATATTGGTGATAATTAAAGTAGACAAACGAGCATATATATATAAATGAGACTGCAGACTGCTGATAATGCATGCATTGCATGGGATCAAAGCTCCCTTCCCCTCCTTCTAGAAGGCTTGACCGGATTTGTGGTAAGAGTAGAATTTTTTTTTTTTATAATTACACGGTTATGATTAAATCACGTCAACATCTTGTTTTAAAATCTTTATATAAAAAAAGATTAAAAAAAACAAATTGAGCGAGGATGAGAGAGAATAGGATAACAAAAGGGCGGTTAACTGTTGAGCAAAGTTGTGCACATGACGCGACCAACTACTTTTGTTTTGTCAAGCTCCTGCCGATAAAACCCTTACATGCATCATCACCCGAACGTATTCATAATTAATATATTATTTAAAAAATTAAGCGTAGAAAGATTCGAATTAGAAAGTGCAAAGGGAGAAATACACTGACTTAGCTAATTTATCTAAGCTCGGATCTATTGTAATTTAAATACTTATTAAAAAATAAAAATGGCAAATTATAAAATATTTACAAAGTTATGTTAAAACAACAGAGCATCAATAAAGTTAATCTCACTCGCAACGTGTTTAATGATAATGACTAGGCATCAAGCAAGTATCTCCGATATTCTCATGAATCGTACTTAAAACTTTTAAGACAAATATTACTCGAAAAACAATTGATTCAAACACTTTATTTTAGACTACAACTTTTTGATCATTTTGCTCTTTTGGATACACACAGACAATTCTCATGCGCACGCCTCACCTGCCGATGGAGAATTGTCATTTTTATTTTTTATTTTAAAAAGGGATCGTCAGGTTGTTGCGCCATGACAGTTCATTCTTTCAGGGATTGAGAAGACTGACACATGCATTTCAGCATCTCATGGGCTACCATCGTGTATTCACCAGCGTCATGAATTGAACCTAAAACATGTCATATGAAATACAACCATATAATTTGTCTCGAACCACTAAACCATCCTAGGTGGTTAGGGAGAATTGTCCTTTCACATGAACCATATCTTACTATGTTTTTGTTATCTTTTTAATATTTTAATTTATTGACTATTATTTATTTACTTATCACAAATAGTTGGTCTTTGTCTCATCCGCCTTCTCTCGTGGGTGGACATGAATCCACGTGAAAGATGAAGCATTTGAGACACGCATATAACTTTGAAGCTGGCTAGCAAAAGTTTGAAGCACTAGAAGTTAAACACATCTCCTCTATCTTGTACAAATCTTGCAAGCAATATGCGTGTTCGTGAGTTCTTGTTTTTCCACCTCAACGTGCATATACCCAAAAATTCTGAATACTTCAGAATACACAATATTTTGAATGTTTTGACCGTTAAATTTTATATGTTTTTTAAAAAGAATCTAACGTCTGCCCCAAGTCGAAGGCCTGTGATTGACTGGCAGAGGAGCTTCATAGACGTCCCACAAGTTGACCGATTTGACGGAAAATGGTAACATGGAAATTGGACAACCACAACTGTCATTTTATGGACTAAAGATGATGTTAGGTTTTATCGTGAATGTCACATACTACTGCTAATTTATTACACGTAAAATTATTTATTTGTAAAACTCGTCTTATCAATTGTATTATTCTCTTATAAAATAATATTATACGGAGGTCTAATAATTTGTGATGATCACTTGAGAATTTATCTAAAAAGTTATTGTGCAAAAGTTTTTTTCTTGTATTTTTTTTTTCACGGAAATGTAAGATGACATTTTTGGATTTAGACTAAATAAAAAATCATTAGTGAAATAGTTTTTGATTTAGTACTTGAAGGTTTTGTTTTTTTTTGTTTTTTTTTTTTTTTTTTTTTTGGAAACACCTAGTTCATCATTTCGGAGGCTTTGAAGACTCACAGAAAGACATTTTAGTCCTTAAAGGAGTTTTAGAATATGATGAACTTGGGACCGAAATATTAGATTGAAGATACATGAATGATCCCAACATTATGTTTCTTAGTTAAATTTCCTATATAATATTATTGATTTAAATTACTGCTACAATGCTATTCCGAGTGCCGAAAGTCCTCTACAAGTAGAAAAGTAGGGGAAGGAGAAGAAGTTGATACGCTATAGACACCGAAGGTGGACCAGACTAAAGAGTAACTCTACAGCCTCGGAGAGTTATCAGTTGACAAGTTGTAATCGGATTCCTTCTTCGATTTCTCTTTTTAGCTAAATTGACAACCGATGGTTTATATATATATGGACAAGGATGACCTCGTGGCTCGTCCTAATACGATTGGACCACTCAGCTCTAGCATCGCGACCCCATTGAACTGTGTGTAAGTACTGTACTTGGTGATATGAACATTACAAGTCTTCATAGTTCACATGCGAGGGAACCGTTGTTAAAGTCATGAATTTGTTAATTTTTAATGTTCATGTGGGCCCAGATTGCCACGTGGCATTCAATTATTGTTCACACAAGCGCCACGTCATAGGTTAATATCTGTTTTAACGAAAAACTTGACAGATGTATGAAAATATCATAATTTTCATTTTAGGTACCAGATTGAAATGAAAAAAAACTTACGTATAAAAGGTTGAAAACAAAAAAATTTCTTGGTAGTAAACTGAACACATTACATGCATCATCACCCGAACACATTCATAATTAAAGTATTATTTAAAAAAATAAACGAAGAAAGATTGCACAGGGAGAAATACACTGACTTAGCTAATTTATCTAAGCTCGGATCTATTGTAATTTAAACACTTACTAAAAAATTGAAATGTCAAACAATAGAATTACAAAGTTATGTTAAAACAACAGAGCATCAATAAAGTTAATCTCACTCGCAACGTGTTTAGTGATAACTGATTAGGCATCAAGCTCTTCACAAGTAAAGTATCTCCGATATTCACATGAATCGTACTTAAAACATTTGAAGACAAATATTATTTGAAAAACAACTGATTCAAACACTTTATTTTAGACTATAACTTTTTGATCATTTTTGTATTAGGCATCAAGCTCTTCACAAGTAAAGTATCTCCGATATTCACATGAATCGTACTTAAAACTTTGAAGACAAATATTATTTGAAAAACAATTGATTCAAACACTTTATTTTAGACAATAACTTTTTGATCATTTTTGTTCTTTTGATGCATGCACACAGAAAATTCTCATGCACACAGCTCACCTGCCGGTGGAGAATTGTCATTTTTGTTTTTTATTTTAAAACGGGATCAGTTGGTTGTTGCGTCATGGTAGTCCATTATTTTAGAGATTGAGAAGACTCGTACATGCATTTCAGCCTCCCGTGAGCCACCATTGTGCATTCACCAATACCAGAAATCGAACCCAAAACGTGTCATATGAAATACAACCCTATAATTTGTCTCCAATCACTAGATCACCCCGTGATGGTTAGGGAGAATTATCCTTTCACATGAACCATATCTTACTATGTTTTTGTTTTCCTTTTAATATTTTAATTTATTGACTATTATTTATTTTCTTATCACAAATAGTTGGTCTTCGTCTCTCATCCCCTTTCTCTTCTCGTGGGTAGACATGAATCCACGTGAAAATGAAGCATTTGAGACACGCACATAAGTTATAACTTTGAAGCTGGCTAGCAAAAGTTTGAAGCACTAGAAGTTAAGCACATCTCCTCTATCTTGTACGATTCTGCAAGTAATATGCGTGTTCGTGAGTTCTTGTTTTTTCACCTCCACGTAAAATTCTAAATACTTCGAAATACACAATATTTTGAATGTTTTCATCGTTAAATTTTATATTTAAAAAAAAAAAAAATCTAACGTCTACCCCAGGTCGACGGCCAGTGATTGACTGGCAGAGAGCTTCATAGACGTCCCACAAGTTGACCGATTCGACAGAAAATGGTAACATGGAAATTGGACAACCACAACTGTCATTTTATGGACTAGAGATGATGTTAGGTTTATATCGGAATGTCACGTACTACAGCTAATTTATTACACGTAAAATTATTTATTCATAAAACTCGTCTTATCAACTGTATTAGTTTCTTATAAAATAATATCATGTAGTGGTGTAATAATTTGTGATGATCACATTTGAGAATTTATCTAAAAAGTTATGGTGCAAAAGTTTTTGTCGTGTATTTTTTTTTTTCACGGAAATGTAAGATGACATTTTTGGATTTAGACTAAATAAAAATCATTAGTGAACAAATGGTTTTTGATTTAGTCCTTGAAGGGTTTTTTTTTTTCTTTCTTTTTTCTTTTTGGAAACACCTAGTTCATCCTTTTGGAGGCTCTGAAGACTCATAGAGAGACATTTTAGTCCTTAAAGGAGTTTTAGAATATGATGAACTTGGGACCGAAATATTAGATTGTAGATATACGAATGATCCCAACATTATGTTTCTTAGTTAAAATTCCTATATAGTATTATTGATTTAAATTATTGCTACAATGCTATTCCGAGTGCCGAAAGTCCTCTACAAGTGAAGAAGTAGGGGAAGGAGAAAAAGTTGATACGCTATGGACTTTAAACCGAAGGTAGACCAGACTAAAGAGTAACCCTACAGCCTTGAAGAGTTATTAGTTGACAAGTTGAAATCGGATTCCTTTTTCCATGACCTCGTGGCTCGTCCTAATTCGCTTGGACCACTCAGCTCTAAGCATCGCGACCCCATGAACTCTGTGTAAGTAATTGACTTGGTGATATGAACATTTCCAAGTCTTCACAGTTCATATGCGAGGGAAGGGAATCGTTGTTCAAGTCATGAATTTCTTAATTTTTAATGTTCATGTGGACTCAGATTGCCACTTGGCATTCAGTTATTGTTCATGCGGGTGCCACGTCACATGTTAACATTTTGTTTTAACAAAAAACTTAATTGATGTATGAAAGTGTTAGAATTATCATTTTAGATACCAAACGGGGATGAAAAAAAAACTTATGTATATAAGGTTAAAAACCAAAAGAAATTATGATAGTAAACTGAGATTTACCTTTAAAAATTTAACATAAATAATTAATGAGGCTTGAGTATTTATCAGTTAGTAAATTGATACAATACTAACCAATCGTTTGGATACCAAAATCCTAGATCATAAAACTCCATAGCTGTCGGCCTCTTGTTTCGACTTGGAGCCGGTGGCAGCCCTTGTCTCATTCTCCCAACCTTTCTCCTTCCTCTTCTCATGGATTATTGCAGTTTTGATTTTCGTTTTAGTATTTTCATCTATAAGTGCCTCCTTGGTGAGTTTATTTGTGAGTATCTCATACTGATTATTTTAATTTTATGTTTGTGCTTATGTTTTATTTGGTTCTCCTGTGTCTTCGTTGTTTTTGGTGGTTTCGTTAATGGTGTTGAGTACAAAATTCATGTTGGTATCGACAATAGTTGGTTTCTTGTCAGTTTCTCTTCCAAGTCCACATTGCTCGTTAACAAAGAGCGCCCTTATATTTGTTATATTGTCGTTTTTGTGCGCATAATTTCTCAAGTTTATTTGGTTTTGGAGTGTCATCTCAATCTTCTTAAGTTCGAGGGGTATGAGATTACATTATGTAATTGGAAATAAGAGTCGTGTTATTATTAACTTAATAACCATCTAGCACTTGAACGCTACATAATATAAAATTTCAAAGAAAAAAAATGTATATTATCTGCTTCCGGCCCACTTATAGCCCAAAATGCCTGACTCAACAAAAATTTACAAATAGTTATATAAAAAAGAAAAGAAAATATAATCACCATTTTTAATGGGAACTGTTATTAGCACTTCAAAAATCTTATTCTAATTATAGAAAATTTAAAGTGCACAATGATATTTTTGAAATGTCAGTAACAATTTCCTTTCTAATTTATAAATTCAGCAGTTTAGTAGCTACTCGCGAGTATAAATACGGGCACAACTTTCCCATTCAGAAATTCGAAATATCCAGAAAAAGTACCAAATTTGAAAGCGCGGGAATCTCACTCGGTGACTCAAACGACCTTCTTCAACCTCCAAGCCACAATCCTCAAGCTCCAAACCCTAACAACAATGTCGACCGCCAAAGCAAGCAACAAGAAGCGCAGGACCGACCCGGAGATCGCCAAATCGGACCACCTCGATCTCGACCTCGACCTCTCCAAGTGCGTCTTTCCGATTAATCGATTCTTCTCTTTTCATTTTTCAATTTTTTGCTTTGCGATTTGTGGATGAAAGCGTGCGGTTCTGAATACGGTGGAATTTTGCAGTGATATCAAAGGAATCATGTCAGCGATTCATCAGATCCGAGAGAAGGCTCACAAGGACGGTCTGAAGAAGAACGAAGAGACGATTTCGAGGTGAGTCGAATCGTTTCGGTCCGATCAGGTTTCGTTATCGCTTAAATTGGAAGCTTGCGATTTTTGTAATTGATGCTGATTTGTGTTTGTTCCTCCCCTTCGAATTTTCCATTTCGTAAACAAATTGCAGTATATAAATTGATGAAAATTCTGATAACTGACAGAGATTGCTTGCTTGTTTTATTGAACGCGTTCGTTCTGATCCGATTTACGATCTGAATTTGTAATGCTACTATTTAAGATGATTAATCATTAATTAATTTACTATCGATGTTTGGTACATATAAAATTTGAATCAACATAAATGAGTAAGAAATCAGGAATTAGGTTTTGTTAATACATTCTGTTTTCGTTGTCCGTTACTTCGAATTTGTATCGTTACTCTGTGCTTGCGTGACAGTGTGGCAGCTGAGGTCAGGTCTGCCATTGATGAGCTCAAGTCCAAACTCGAAAAGGATAGGTAACCAAAATTTCGAAGAAACGCCAGCTTAAGCTACTACATGCTTGTCCCTTTGCATCAGTAGTTTCTTCAGTCTTTGCATTGATAGTTTCTTCGCAACAAGTGAACTAATCAGGTACATTTTGTTTTCTTTACGTGTTAGGCAAAGTTTCGCTAAATCCCTCTCGAAGAGCTCAAAAGAGGTATGTTGAAAACAATGGATGATCCGGCAAAGAAATTTGAATTCGCAGTTGTTTTAACTCTGATTAATGTTTGTTTTTATGCAAGCAGTGTGAGAATTGCTTGAAGACTGAAGCTGCAAAGTTCCAAGCACTTCATGAAAAGTTCTGCAAGGACCAAGCAAGCCATCTGCAGGCCTTGAAAGGTAGTTCCTTGTAGTTCAAGTCTTCACTCCTTTCATCGAATTTCTCTTCTTGCTTTAAATCCAGCAACATAGATAATCTGGCTACAGTAATTGAGAGAGAGGTGCTCGACTATGTTAACTATCAGAAACTGGTACATTTTTTGGTTTCATGGATAGGAGGTCTACTTTACACATAGTTCCCTAGTCCGCCTCCGTTTTCCAGTAACTTAAGAACATACCCGAGCTGCAGTAATCCGCGGATAGACCCTCGACACTGTTAAGCATTGTTCTCTTTTGCTAAAGAAATGTTTTTGTTGAACTGCGTTCCAAAAAATGGGAGATACAACAATGCAAATGACTGCTGCTGGTCTTTCTTTTTACTAACCGGGGAAGTTTGTTCGACAGGAGTTATTTCGACATATGAAGAAGAGAAGGAAAGGCTCTGCACACGATACGAACAATTGAGTACGCAAAAAAAAAAAAAAAAAAAAACTCTCTTACTCGTAACCGTAGGATAGGAATCGGATAACTAATGTTCTGATGGGTTGATGTCAGGGAAGAGAGAAAGGAGTATGATTTCTGAGCATGAGAAGGCTTGCGCTGATAAAATTAACAAACTGGAAGAGTCATTGAAAAAGAAGAAGCAGGTACTCTCTCTCTCTCTCTCTCTCTCTGTGCAAAGAAGTCTCAAAACCAGATTTATTCATCTGTTTGCAACACACAGGACGACAGAACTTTCAGCGTTCTGAGAAAGTCTCTTGGTTCAATTTTGGACAATGGTTCCGACGAGGACATCCCGGCTGATGATTGAAGATTACTTCAGAGTTGAAAAGGGCAGTGCTACAAATATTCAGCTGTTAAATCTCCATTAACCCGAGGTATTACGTTCACTGATACTTTTGAAATGATATGAGCCGTAGGTGTAAGGTTTCTTTTCTCAGTTTCACTATGTTAGTGAACCAAAATTGATGTTAATGCTCGTTAGTGTCGTTATACTGTAATTCCCCATGACTTTCAAGAATGCTTAGTCCGAAACAGTTTAGCAAGGCACAACAATTTAACTTCATATACGGTATCAAATAATTACCTGCTACATGTGAAAAATCGATCACATATTAATTTTGGAGAAGAGTTCCGGTGTAAGCTCTTCGTTCTTCCCTAATCCATGCAACGGCAATATAACGCGTTGTACCGCCAAGCTTCAGATGCTAGTTACATTTTGTAGACTGCCTCGCATAAGCAGTTTAATGAACAGGATTTGGAGGAGTTGGTGATTGCCCCTGTTGGACGGACCATGGAGGGCGCTTGTTGTGTTCCTACAAAGAAACGTTTCACATCCATCACACATACGAAACACAAGCAATTGCATTCTGATCTACTTGCAATAACTATACGAATGACAGACTACATAATTCGAAAGTGCTTTTCTTGTTCTCCCCCGTAACAATACTATTGACTACTACAAACGAAACAACACCATGAAGGTACAACTGATAGAAAATAACCTTCCTCGTCATATCGTACCTAATGTGAAGTCTACAAATCCATAACTTATACTTAGAAGTTTAGGAAAATCGTCTTTCGTGTGATTATCCCTGAATATTATTCCGAATGCTAGCCTCTTGCTAGTGATATTCACATAGGTAACGTTATTTTTTTCCATGTAAATTGTTTACTTACCCCAACTTCTGTCACAAAATGGCACGAGGAACACCTAACGGAAGGCGCTCCATATGGGTACATCAGCAACACTGCACAGCTACCACATTTAACTTGTCCAACCTGATGAGCTGATAGAAGAAGAATCCGTTAGATTTTGCCCATTTGCCATCACGACGGCAAATCACCAAACATCTTACATTTGCAGAAGAGAAAATGACACTTTACTACACAGACAATAGGCTCGAAGGCTCTGGTAACTCAAACTTATCAAATCTACAAGAGAAGCAATAGAATTATAAATTACTTGCAATTTAACGATGAGGAGTGTACGGGAAGAAAGACAAATAAGCGTATTGCACTTGAAGCTAGTTTTAACAACTCAAGTCCGTGACTCAATTTTAATACCATCGGGGTTTTTCGCTTAGAATCAAGTATGGCACACTGCTTGTGGTTTGTGGAAATCGCGGTTTAGGGTTCAAGGTTTAGGCATAACGCATTTTATTAGAAAAAGATTTCATTGTATGGCACTACTACATAAAACTATGACTGAGGCACTGCAGGGCTCAATCAATTCAAAAGATCCGATCAACTTTGTTAGAGTACATCGCGAATTTTTCATATTTGAGGTTTGGTTTAGATCGAGCTTTAGCTTCTCTTTCCCAATTTACATTGTTTCCATATATTTTTGCGCTACGTATAGAAAATCATCATAAATTATCGTAAAGTAAGAACAAAGAGGAGGGAATGAAACAGAGAATCTTAACTTGTTAGGTGCACACAAAGTATCTAAGTGAAAGAGGAAGAGAGAAGAACCACCTTCAAGCACGAAGTTGACGGTCTGACAGCACGAGCACTCGACATGTGTGGCTCCTCGAGGATACTTAAGCAGCCGGCGGCAAGAACCACAAACCATTTGAGCTATTTCTACATCACAATTACACAACTCACCAGGTGAGAAAATCTTGCACTATTTTTACTTCATCTCAAAAGGAAATCAAATGCTCCAAACAACATTCTTCTCCGGAATCCAATAATCCACATTCTGTTATTCATTTCCAATTAAATTACCCAAATTATTCACTTTCCATTTTCACATTCGAAATTAGAGACTTTTGAAACAAATGCCAGGTGGGTTACTCTTTTTTTTTGTCGATACAAGCGATATTCTACCTTAAACAACTAAAATGCGGGGTGAGGATGATTCGAACTCGAGTGAGTGTACAAGGAAGCACGTACGCTCTAGCCAATGCAGCTACGCCCACGTGTGCGACTTGATGGGTAAAATTTAAAAGTGAACCCAACCCAGTTACAGTTGCTAAATGCAAACCATAATCACATATATCAATAAAAATAAAGTGAATAATTAAAATAGAAGAATACAAAAATATTCTCTAAGAAAAAGAAAAACCCAACTGACACGAAACGCGGAGAGAAACGGAGTCTCCGATTGATATAATAAGTTGGTTGTTATTAGGGGGTTATAAAATGGAGGGAGGCTGACTGACTCACCGGAAGGCGGTGATGGCTGCGCGGCGATGGATTGGAGCTCCGGCTGCGGCGCTTCGTCTACTTCCACTTTGCTCTCCATCCTCCACCTCCTCCTCTGTGCCTTTCTCTTGCTGTCGCTTTGCACAAATTGCGGGTTGCAGAAAACGACTTGGAGTTGGACGCCTCGTGATACGGTGTCGTTTTAGGGGCCAACGTCAAGCGAAATGCTGACCTGGCATTAAGATGTAGATTTTGTTGCCGCATTTTGGGCAAAAGGATCATCTCCGAATTTCTTCCTCCTAATCCATCAAATCAAATAATCTGTGCTATTAAAATTTGATTCAACGATTACAAAAATGGGATCCTTTTAAAGTTATATTAATTATAGCCGTTGGATAAAAATACAACGACTCACAATGATTGGTCAGGAGGATCCTCTCCTTGGGCTCAGGAGAGGATCCAATCCATGTCTTATACTACCACGTTTCGTTAACACGTGGTGGCGCCAATGATTGAGGACGAATCCCAGCCCGTATTCCGTACAAACATGTCTTAACTTTAATTATTGGCACTGGTGAACTACACAATAATGGTAAAAAAAAGCTGAAATGCCTATCCACCAGCTGGTCCCCTTTTAAGTGAAAATAAAAACTCATCCTCCCTATCTTATATTACCCTATTCCGTGAACTAGACTAGTAGAGACATTAGTTTTTCTGACATTGAAGAGCCCCTATTTGCCCAAGTTCAAAGTTTTGAACTTGTCTTGCAAATTTCAGATGAGACTTTAAAGTAAATTCTCACTAATATCAAACATAAAAACATCTTAATGAAAGAGCAATCCCGATTATAATAAGGATTATAATCGTTGACAATGATTAAGAAAAGATTAGGAAGAAAAAGGCGAGGCAACCGCAACGTATCAATGAACTCAGATATATTTAAGGATGATGTCATACATGTATTTACTTAATGATAGCTTAACTACAGGAAAATACAATTAGTTCCAGCTCTCCAGCTTAAAACGAGACGAAAACAAAACTTTCATCACAATATGGTTTGAACCGATTCCAAAAACACAGACATTCGACTCCGATGAAAATGCATCTACTAATTCTGATTATCTTGTTCCAAACCTGCCCAACAGGAACCGATGAACCTTCTGATTCGCCTTCAACCTCTTGAAACTCCGGGCGTGTATCTATTGTTATCGCGGTAAAGCCTATTAACTTCGTGCTTGTTTAGACGAGAACTCAGAAAACAAAGAACATGTTGTGTTTCAGCAATCAACTATATCAGGCTCCTTTCTTCTTTTGGTTTTTGGCAGGCTTGATGTCCTTTGTGAGCATTCTTGGCGCTATGGCCATCGACATTAGCTCTTGGAACAGCAGCTTGCAGGCATAAGGAATGTAAACCTAGACAAACACAAGACAAGCAGCGGATAGCATTAACCTCGCACCGATCAGAGCAATATTACAACTCTAGGCATGAATTCATGTACCGTATGAGAGAGCGAGAGAGAGAGAAAGAGAGAGATTGATTTACCTGAACAATGTCGGTTTTGTTCTTGCAACCCCTGCACTCAAACGAATTCTTCTTGAGATTTGCAATAGCTATTAACCCACAACGTTCACAGACATGAACCCTATATGCATCACTCTGGTCAAACAATCTTTCTTTCAGAAAGTGAGCAGCACCATGGGCAATCATGCAATCTCGTTCCATTTCCCCGAAGCGTAGACCACCATCACGAGATCGTCCCTCAGCTGGCTGCCTTGTGAGGATCTGCACTGGACCCCGTCCACGTGAATGGATCTTATCGTCGACCATATGCTTCAGTCTCTGGTAGTAATGTGGGGCCAAGGAATATCATAGCGCTGAGCCGCCTGCCCGTGTGACCGTTATACATGGTCTCGAATCCACGCATTTGATACCCACAACTGTGAAGAGCTTTACTGATATTGTCCACCTAACAAAGAAGAAGATAATAAGATATGGGAATTTCCAGGAAAAACAAAACCAACTAAAGACACATTTCAATTCATGAGGAAGTGCAACTCACCGTGACATCTGTAAAAGGTGTAGCATCTCCTTCCTTTCCCATATGAGCTGCAACCTTCCCCATAATACACTCAATGAGCTGACCAATTGTCATCCGAGAAGGAATAGCATGCGGGTTCACGATTATATCGGGGGTCACCCCTTCCACAGTCCATGGCATGTCTTCCTGGGTATAAGTCATACCCACCGTCCCCTTCTGTCCATGCCTGCTACTAAATTTATCACCAATCTGAGGTATTCTGACAGACCTCACCCGTACTTTAACAAACCGCAACCCATCAGCATTGGTCGTCAGTAGAACCTACAAACACAGAGTAAATGTCAGTCTTGTGATAAGAAGACAGTAGATCTGCAAGCAGCAGCGGTGGGGAGGGGGTGGGAGTGAAATACAACGAACCTGATCAACTATGCCGGTTTCACTGTGGCGCAAACTTATGCTGTGGTCACGCCGTGTATAACGTGATGTAGTTTGCCCTGGAGCCTCATCCTGAGCCATGGGTGTAGTCTTTCCTATGATGACATCCTCACCAGAAACCCTAGTTCCCTAATAAGGTAATATCAAAGAAAATTAGTTCATCTTTATTTCAGATATAGTATGACAAAAAATCGTAGTAAGACAAAGATACATATACTTACAGGAGGAGCAAGACCATCATCATCCAATTTGTCATAAGAACCATGTCGCATACCCTGTAAACTCAAACCTTAGCATAGCGTCCAATACTACATGAGTGGCACCATTAAAAACATAAGCTAGAAGTTAAAATTCTCACCATGGTATTTGCTCTGTCAGGACGCCCAAAATCCTCTTTGACAAGGGTCCCCATCTTTTTCTCCTCGTCCCTGTGACAGGAAAAAGTCATCGATGCAACATTGTAGGAAAACAAATGATTTGTTTTCAAAATAGCTGTTACAGATAAACTGACCTATAAGATCGGAAGAATAGTGACCGGAAGAATCCACGGTCCACAGAGGATTGATTCATAATGACAGAATCTTCCTGGTTATAACCAGAATAACAGGAGATGGCAACAATAGCGTTCTGATGTAGAATGGAAGACAGAAAATGTTCATCATCAGACTTTAGCTAGAGAGAGAGAGAGAGAGAGAAGCATATCATCTGAAGTGGAGAAACAGAGAGAGGCATAGTAAAACAAAGTTAAATACTTACGATGCCAGCAGGAAGCTGCCTGAAGTGGAGATGCTCCATGGCTCTTGTGGTGACAAGAGGTTTCTGAGGGTAGTATAAAACATATGCCAATGTATCCTGAGTGAAGCAACAAGAAGATTGTCATTAATCAACTGTAACATTCAACAGTAGAAGATAAAATACTTGATTACAATGTGGGAACCAAGTCATACCATTCGGAACTGATAATTGGTGACATAAATCCCCATAGCTTGCTTTCCCATAGCAGATTGATATGTATTACGTGGAGACTGATCACAACAATAGCTAATAAATAGATGGAATAATAACTTATAACATAAACAACACATTAAATTCACTTGTACGACAAGATCACCTGATTATGATCGGGAAACGGTATAATAGAAGCACAAACACCCAAAATAAGTGATGGGTGGATTTCACAATGAGTATAAGTGTCCGAATATGCCTCCTCCGGATTGAGTCTTGCTTGGACAAGATCCTGCAGACGAATTTTTCCAAATTGAACCATGAATCCCTACAGCTTCTACATGTCCGTTTATAATCCAAATAAAACAAGATGCATTTTTCCAGAAAGAACTCTAACATTAATTGTCATGGAAATCATTGTCGTCTCCTCTTCTTCAGTGTCAATATATTCAATATATCCCTTTGCTACAAGGTCATGCCAACCAGCATCTTCAGGGCTTTCCTGAAAAAAAATATAAGGGTAGAGTGATGTAAACATCGGATGTCCCAAGAAGGAAAATAGAAGATTTCAGCTAGCTCACCCTCTGCTGCAATGCATGAATATCTCTCTTCTTTATGAGAAGCCTCTGTTTGTCCACAATGAATAATGGACGACTGCAACGTCCATAGTCAGTATATATCCGCAATTCTTTCAGACGGATATCTCTCACAACCCCAACTTCAGTGTTGACATCAACCTGCACAAGTACAGAGTAATCAGCATCTGTAACGTTTATTGTGACAATTAAACGTGAAAAGTCACCAGACAGAATATAAGCAAGCGCTAAGAAGATTGGGCGGGTAAGAACAAAGCACAAGATGAAAAGGAAAAGAGGAAGAAAAGAATGGAGCAATTAACCAAACATAGACTCTACTTATAAAGCCAATGTTAGGTTGAGCATTTTTCTTTTGGCACAATATCTAACCAAAATAACAATTTTAAAGAAATAAATGAAAGAGATACTGACCCGTCGCCTTAGCTTTCTCAATGTCCTCACCAACATTTCAGGATCACGATGGATTCCAACCCAACAGCCGTTAACAAAAATTTTTGTAGCTTGGGGTATAACCGCAGGAGAAATTTCCTACAGTCAAGATAAAGATGCTTGTCAAACTAAATAATAAAGAAACCATAAAATCAGAATCCATTAGAACTAACAGAACAAACCTCAAAGTTTTCTGTACCCCATTCTTCCAAAAATTCCAAGATTGGATATGCAGCTGATCCTACGGTTATGTATACCATCAATGCAAGATTCTTTACAAGCCCGCACGCCTGGCATAACAGACAGACATTTAAGTGCCATGTACAGCAAGAAAGGGTTTTTCAAGCAAACTTGCAGACTCAAAAACTTTTAAAATGTGATACTCACTTGCCCTTCAGGTGTCTCAGCTGGGCACATCATTCCCCATTGCGAATTATGCAGCTGACGCGGTTTAGCCAATTTCCCTGATAAAAGAAACCTTGGTTCAAAAGAAGGAGCGGTAAATTCTAACAAGCCACAGGTAGCAGTAGCAACAAGATGATTGGGCAAAAATAGACATTAAAAGGTTTTGCTTTACATCATAGATGAGTCTTATAACTGCAATCCAGAGACCTTACATTTGAAACATAACTATACAAAACACAGCAGAAGCCAGAAAGCAGAAAGTGGTTTACCTTCACGCCCTATTGGAGAATTCAGTCTTCTCAAGTGTGAGAGAGTGGATGCGTATGTCAAACGATTTAACACCTGCGACACTCCAGCCCTTGTACCAGCTGCATTTGCTTGCCCCCAGTTTCCAGTGGCAAGTGAATATTTGAGGCCACTCGTAATGGTTTTAGCTTTGATGGCAAATTGCAGATTAAGATCCTTTCCATTGTCAACACACTGCAACATGCATTAAATATGTAAGTATAAAACCAAATAAAATAGAAATTTAATAAACAGGGTTCATGTAAAAAAAAAATCAGGGTTAATGTAAGCAACCTTCTGTGCATAAGCTCTCACATCCTTGGTCAACTTCCTGAATAGCTGCGATTGCATAAACAGTTCTGTGGTCAACAACATATTGGCAAAAAATTCATACAACCTCTAATTTCCACTAAAAAAAAAACTTACATTTCGAAATAAGCCTCCGAGTAAGGGACCAGCAAGATCAAGCCTCTTGTTGCCATAATGATCCCTGTCATCTTCTGGCCTCCGTCCTAGTGCACATAGTAGAAGCCTGTGGACGATATATCTGGAACAAGCACAAATGCATACTTAGTTAACAATTCAAAATCCAACTGCATGCTAATGCATATCATAAAAACCTACCCAAAATAGTAAGCTTTCTTTGTCTCACAAAATTCTCCAACACCAACGTGTGGAAGCATTTCCTTTTGCAGAATCTCTTTCGCATACTTGATTCTCTTGTCTCTACTTACACCAACATTTGCACCTCTCTTTCCAATATAATCTAATGCAACCTGTATTAGAAAATAGAATATTAAGCCACATGCTAAAAAGAATATGAGAAACTTGTAGACATTAAACCATGAAATAAATAAAGCACCTGTTGATTCTGAATCACAAATGCTTCTTCCAGAGAAGGTCTAAGCAGCTCCATCATTTGAGTATCAGAGAAGTCATAACATATGTGCTCTAGGATATCTTTATCCGCAACAAACCCGAGAGCCCGGAACACAATAATAATAGGAATTTCACCTTTAATATATGGAAGGGTAGCTTTGATGTACTGTCCCGAAGAACCCTGCGATAACAGAAATGCATACAAACAAAATGAAACAAATAGCAGACAATACATGAACAAAAAAAAAAAATTACTGCCACAATCAGTTCCATTACCCCTTTAGAACTAGTCCGAGCAAGCATCCGAACAAACATGGTACTGGGTGGCCTGTTTTGAGACTCCGCCATAGACCGAACTTCAGCCACATAGGCATACTTGTTAGGCTGCCTCTTCTTGAACACATAGACGTGATTGGTGCTCATCTTCTCTTGAGCAATAAGAACCTTTTCACTCCCATTTATAATAAAATATCCACCTTGATCATATGGACACTCTCCCAGCTCAGTTAAATCTTTCTCCGAATTCTGGTACAGCGTGCAATAACTAGACCGAAGCATTATAGGAACCTGATAACATACAACAAAACAAATTCAACCAAGCTGTTGACTAGCAGTGTTATATTCATCCATCATTACAGAATTAATCACATTACACACCTTCCCAATGAATACTTTGGTGAAATCCTGGGTCTCAGTGAGTTCTTCGCCATCGTGTCCTTTCTTTATCATCCTCTTTGAGACATCAACATACAAGGGTGCTGAGTACGTCAGATTTCTAAGTCTTGCAGCTTTGGGAAATAAGGTTGCAGTTTCTCCATCGGATTCGGTCATCATGGGCTTACTCAAATAAATCTGACCAAAGCTAATCTTGCATACAGTCTGCAATCCAACCCAACAGTGTTACAGCTCCAAACAACATAACCATGAAAAATGCTCCAAGTTCTACTATCTTTTCATCCAAATATTCAACTGTGATATAGAAACCCTGGATCCCAATTACTTGTCCAGCTTTAATTTTTTGCACCAACTATTACCCATAAAATCATCGAAACTACGAAGCTTAAATTCTTTAATAAGACGACTACTTGATCGAAGACAACAGCATTAAAGGTCGAAACAAACTAACCATGAAAATGCTCCAAAGTCTACTTCAGTTTCGTAACAAAAATCAACAATCAGAATGGAAACCTAGCTCCCAATTGCTTATAAAATTGTTGTTTCGCGCACCAAGGATTACCCCTAAAACTACGAAAAGTTCGAATTCGTTAACAACAATACCATTTAATAGAAGACAACCATTGGCAAAACCCGCCCTAAAACCCCCGTTTATTTCCCTAGAGAAAACGCAGGCAATTTCACACCCATAATTTCCCGGGAGGAAACCCTACCTCGGCGAAATCGGGCTGGTGCCCCGGGTTGTGCTGCGACTCGGGCCGAATCTCGATATCGGCCGACTCGTCGACAATCTCCTGCATTGTGTTCTGAATGAATTCGTCGAACGAGTCGAGCTGCTGGCGCACCAAGCCCTTCTCCTCGAAGTAGGCGGAGATGACGGCCCACGCGTCCTCCTGCGTGATTTCATCTTCATCGTCGTCGTCCATGTACTGCTGATCGTCGTACTCGTGCTCCTCCTCCATGATTTACGGCGGAGGATTGGGATTGGAAACCCTAGGTCTAGGTCCGCTGGAATTCTCTGCGTCCGATTGAACGGTGTCGTTTCAAAGTGCGAGCGAAACCCTAGCGTAGCTTTTTCGCTGTCGGGGTTCGGAGGAGTACTGCAGAGTTGAAAAATGAAAGTTTTGACGAATGAAGTGCGCTTTTATTGGGTCCATACTCCATAAGCGGTTCAGTGGGGGACAAAACGACGTAGAGATTTAGGCGGTTTTGGCCGTAAGAGAGAGAAACGACATTGACTCTGGTAGTCGATCAGAGAAAAATGCTCTTTTAAGCTAACGCCAAACTAACATCTTCATATTCCACAAAATATATTTTTGGTGAAAACTTTCTTATAATTCATTTCTTAATCTTTTGAGAACGGGTCGCAATAAGCATGTTATTGGTCGAACAGTTGTCCAAAGATCAAGGTGGAATGAATGAGAGCATGAAATGGCCGAGATAATTTGAGGCAAATCAAGATGAATTGTGAACTATGTCTGAAGTTAAACAAAATTTGTTGGATGGTGAAGTCATTCTGCTTGCCAGAATGTCAAAGTGTGAATTTCTGGCACACCCGCAAGAATTTGAATCATTTTTGTTCTTTTTTGTACATTTTCTTTTATTTCTCTTACCACTGCAACAAACTATCATATTCATGTTCTTCAAAATATACATTTCCGCGCAAAATCTTTTATAATTCGTATTTAAACACTTGCAATCAATGACTTAAAACCTAAATTTAGATATATTTGAATTTTTTTTTTGTCAATTTTTTTTTTATCTACATCTAAACTACATATTAATATAACTCTCTTTGTCAACCAAATAGGGTGAAAGACTATTTAACAAAACAAAATTTTGCCTTTTTTTAAGCTTCACCTGCAGGTGATTTTAACATTTCTAATTTTTTTTTAAAAAAATATACATTTTAACATCTCTATATTTTTCACTTACTTTTTTTTACTTTCTGTCTTAAATATTCTACTAAATATACACTTATTGCTCAATAAATTGTAAATCCGTTTCCAAATACACTATATAGATTTTCTTAATGTTCATAGAAAATATTTCAAGAAAACAAAAAATTTGCATTTGTACAGAAAAACATGGATTAGCACTCATGGTTTTCAGTCAGTTTTACAAATTTGTACATAAATCATCGTTCAATCTATTTATTTTCAACTTCACCTTCACTATGAAGTTTTGAAAATTAAGGTGATACTTTCCCTTTAGATTCTTGAGTGTAGAACCCCATTTGACAATGTTATGGGCCCCACTACTATATTTTTCACTTATTTTTTTTTAGTTTTTAGCTTAAATATTCTATTAAATATAGATTTGTTGCTCAATAAACCGTAAAAATTCTTCCAAATTCTTTAAAAAATTTAACTTAATGCTCAGGAAAAAAATTATTAAAATAAAAAGTTTGCATTTTTGTCAAAACACATGGTGTTAGAAGGGTTCGACTCACGAAAACCAAGATGGAGTTAGCTCATGCAGAATGAGATGGACCAACTTGTGCCTGGGCTTGCTCCCACTTGCTACAAGAGACGATGGCATGGGGCCCACCCATGCGCACAGCCCAAGAGCCAAATAGCTCATTTTTCCTCCAAGCTAAGCTGTTGGATTTCTAATTGTTTACATGTGGCGCAATCTAGGGCAACATAACTAATTTTGAAGTTCATTGGCCATGATTATTCTAAAGGTTAAAAATTCGAAAAGAAATACCCATATTTTATGGGTGGACTTGCACAAAAAAAATTATTGTTCAAAGTGAATAATAAGGACAATTACATTGCCCTTACCCTCTTAAAGCGAGTGAACTTACTCTTAGATTATGTAGGAAGCTCCTCTTTACTATTGAGTATTTTACTATAAACATGTTAAAAAATTTATTAAAAATTCAAGTGTAACTTGAAAAAATCAAATGCTTCACCATAAAACGGTTATTTTTCTAATTATTTTTAAAATTTTCTACTAAACGTGATAAAAAGGTTTTTAATTATCAAAAATTTGTTTTAGTCATTTCAAAAACAATCTCAAATAGATGGTGTGACATTTTTTTACCTTTGACCAAATTCATGTTACAAACACAATCACATGATAAGAATTGATCATGTGGTGTGCATGCATGCAATCACACAAGATAAGTGGATCATGCTATGAATCACATGATCCCTTAATTTGTAGCATGAGAATACATCTATACATGTTCATACACAAAATCTTCATAAAATCTTTGCATGTAAAAGGAAGCCACGTGTCAAAATCTAGAAGGACTCAAAACATGTTTAGTCGGTGCGGACCCCTTTTTTGTGTAAATGACGGATTTGTATTCCATTGGGAATTGTGGGATCCTAAAGATTCTCACATCTTAATTATTCATCGTGCGGACAAAAATCATTTGACTTTCTTATTTAAAATTAAACACAAATAGTACCTGACGAAAATTGACCGTACAATATACAAACGGCTAAGATGATAGGATCCTCACAAAGTGGGTCAGGAGAGAAGAATCCTCTTCTGTAAACGGCTAGTCTTGCAGCAGCGCATTATCTTCATACCTTTGTGCAGGTAACCAAACCATTCTTGGTTTAAAGAAATACAAAGAAGACAAGTGCCCCTCCACCTCCCCACCTCCTATCTGTCCTCCTAACACACTCTCTACATCTACCCTCTTTTGCTCTAAATATACACTTCAGCATTTGGACTTCCCTAGCTTACTTCTTTGTTTTGGTCGTAAAACTGTGTCGTTTAGGTTAACTTCTCCATGACTGAGAACAGAAGGATCTTCACCACTGTGCTGAGGCTGCTGGCCTTGGCTGCGACTGTTTCTGCCACCATAGTTATGGTCACCAGCCACGACTCTACCAACGTCTTGAACTTGACCTTCAAGGCCAAGTACAACCATTCTCCGGCTTTCACGTAAGTTTGCTCTTCTAGTTTCTTCAAGTTTATAACAATTTCGCAAACATGAGTTAGGTTTGTTAAAAGGCAATATGCATGTTCCCTTGCATCCGAGTTCTATATCGACCCCTCTCTCTCCGTTGATAGTCCTTTCTTTTCCTCGTAATTAATCATCGTGTTAGTGTTCTATATAACTTGTTTTTATCATATTTTGTTTGACTTTTTTGTTTGTTTGAAATCATGGAAAAAGGTACTTTGTGATAGTGGAGGCAATTGTAAGTGGATACAACCTTATAATCCTGCTTCTTTCTTCCAAGGGCTCACTTTGGCGCATGGTTATCATCCTAGATGTGGTAATAATACCATATTTTCCCTTCATTTTCATAGTTTAAGTAAATGTCTTCCTTTCTTAATTCTGAAATAGTTACATTTTTACCAATATGAAATCGGATAAGGAGTTGGATCAAAGATAAGGACTTTGCATGAAACAGAAACGCTAAAATGATAGTGTTCTAAACCAATCATATACAATGTCATCTAAAAAAGTTTGAACACGTAGCGACATGTGATAGGCTAATAGACATGCATGGGTTGGAGACCACTACTTTTGCGTTTTCATTTCATGTAAGTCTCTCCGGCTCGAGAACCGTCAATCTAATTTCCAACTTAATAGAAACTGAGGGATTAAAACTGGTTCAGGTTGCAGCTCTTCTTCTTACTTCCAGCATGTCAGCTGCCTTGGCGATAGCTCAAGTGGGGAAGAAAGGGAACACTCATGCTGGTTGGCTGCCAATTTGTGGACAGGTCTCCAGGTTTTGCAACCATGTCACTGGAGCTCTTGCTGCTGGCATCCTTGCAGCAATGTTTTACTTTGTGCTTAATCTGTTTACCCTTTACAATGTTCTTAATCCTCTATTTATGGTAAAACCTAATTAATTACCATTAGAATTTTTATGGTTAATTTCCTTAATTTTGGTCTTGCTTTCTGCTTAGCTTTTCCCAATACTGTAAAAAGATAGTAAAAATGTAACATTGTACTTGAATGGCAGTTTTTTTTTTTTTTTTTAACAAACGATATTATTTACATTAAATGGAATAATAGTTTGGAATTACGAAAAATTCTTTTTCATATTTTATTTTTTCATGCTATATATGAAGAAAGATTCAAGGAACTGTGATTATCTGCCACCCGTTTATATATGTTTCTTGATCTCTATTTTTTTTTTTTTTTTTTGTCAAATGAAATTACTTCCATTAAAAACTAGTACAAGAAAGAGAGACCAAAAGGCCTCCCATAAACAACAGTAGGTAAAGTAAAAGACCTAAGCAAAATGAGAGCTGTAACTCAAGATACATATGGAGGCTCACACAAACTTAGGCCCATAAGTAGAAAAAACGGACAAAAAATCCTAATCTAAGTAGCATAGACCAAGCCACTCAGTACTACGGTCTGGTGGTATTCCTCTTCACTTGGAAGTGAGAGGTCTTAGGTTCGAATCTCGTAGATAGCGAATTCGATACCAAATTAGGATGTCCATTGTGCGGTTTTACTAAACTTTCCCTCCCTCAAAAGTAGCATAAGCCAAAGTGACTTGTCTCACTGTCTAGGTCAAGTGTGATTTTGATTTGTGAAAATTAACATTTGCTCTCAATAACACAAGGATGATGTTATATACACACTTTTTACCTTGTACACACTTTTTTCAATTTTGATTGTCGGATCGAACTAATTAAAGAAAATCAAATCACAAAAATTAACAAAAGGTGTATGGAGATAAAAAAAAAATGTGTGGACAACACTGCCTAATGCATTATCATGGGGTCTCTTCTCAACGTTTAAAATTTCTGGCATTGAAACCCTCACAAAAAAAGATATCACAGTAGTAAAATTTCTCTGACTATATTTAAATTATCAACAAATCATTTCTTAGGTACATTTTTATCCTTCACAGGGACCTGGATTGTTTGCCCTCCCCAACCTTATACCCTTCTCATTCCCTCTTATTTCCATGATCACGGTTAAATCACGGCAACATTTTATATTGATTTTGTATAGAAATAATAAGACAAAAAGCAATCTAAACCCAACATTTTATATTCTCATTACTTTTTGTTTTATTATTTATATAAAAAAATCAATATAAAATGTTGACGTGGCTTAACCGTGACCACACAAATAGGAGGAGATGAAAAGGGTATGGGATAAGGAGCACAGACAATCCAGGTCCTTTTGTGAGACTAGGAATAGCCGCTGCTGCTGGAGTAGGGGTCAGAGATATAACGACCGGGAATTGAACTCCGTCGTAAAGCTTTTGCTGTGGGGTCGCCACCGATGCCAATGCCAATGCTAATGCCATGCTGTCTTTCTCTGTTGTTAGCTGCTGCTTCAAGAGTCATCCGGATAGATTTCAATAATTTGCAATCGCTGGTGGTTTATTCAATAGAGATCATGTTAGGTAATATAGTGTATCATCATGTAACATGAGAGAGAAGTTAGTTAGTGTTTCCATACCAGGCAAAAGATTATGTAAAAAACAACCCTAGCTACCTTGCAGAATGTTGGAATCCCACATCGGTGAATGGGTTTAAATATGATTACTCACTCTAACTAATACCGAAGTTTTTTGTGGTAAAACCTTACACTTGACGGATTGGACATGTGGTAAAGTTGAGGACAATATTAATGTTTAGTGGAGCCACCCGGCCTGTCGATCTAAAAAAAATCTTAACATGGTATTAGAGCCAGGTTCAGGTCCATACAAGTCAACTGGCTTATCATCAAGAAGGAAGCAAGCCGTGACTTTTAACAGAGAGCCGGCCTCTGAGTTCTATTGAAAACAAGTCTGGACTCTTAACATAAAGCCGACCTCTTAGTTTCAATTGTCGATGTGTGGATCTCCATGTGTGAACCACTAAATGAGGTTACACGTGGGGGGGGAGAGTGTTGGAATCTCACATCAGTGGGTGAAAAGAAAACAATGGGTTTAAATATGCTTATCCCACTCTAACTAATATCGATGTCTTTTGTGATAAAATCTCACACCTGACGGATTGGGCAGATAGTAAAGTTGGGGACAATATCGATGTTGTTAAAGTGGGACCCAACGGGCCTGCTGATCCAAAAATCCAACACATGGATGATCATGTGAATTGTGGGACCTAGTTATGTGCCAAATCATCACATAACAGAATTTTTAACGGAATTGTAACAGAAGAATGATCCAAAAATCCAACACATGGATGATCATGTGAATTGTGGGACCTAGTTATGTGCCAAATCATCACATAATAGAATTTTTAACGGAATTGTGACAGAAGAATCACATTGATTTGGGACATCCATTTTCAGGGACTACATTGATTGATTTTCAATTTCAGAAACTATGATGGATCAATTTCAAAGACCATTTCCTTAATGTTTTTGTATACAGTACCTTATTACCTAAAAATTAAAACTGAGCTAACGAACGAACGAGGACATAGATTCATTGGTTTGTCAAGAATCAGGAGGCCATCTAAATCCCTAGCCACGAGAAAAATCCTGTGACCAACCTTTACGGCGACATTAATCCTTCTTGGCCTCTTTACTCTCTTCCCTCTTGGCATTTTCTATTGTTTAACCTTATTCATCTACTGGTTGTGGTTCTTTCGCTATGTCGAAGAGATGCTATGTGGTGGTGGTTACTCTCAAGCTCTATTCACGACGAGAGCGACATTGGTTGGCCTTTGTAGTTATTTATCATGTGGCTCATATCAAGGTTTTTTTGTCGAAGATTGCAAGATAACTAGAAGGTGGATGTGGTGCTTTCCTTGTGGTAACTTTAGGGTACTTCTTTGGCTTTTGAGGTTTACTCTTCGTAAGTGTTATCTTTATCTTTCATATTGGTTTAATGCTAGCCATTCATGATTGATAAATTGTATTGTGTTTCTGATAAGTTTGTAATTACGGAGTTGTGTTGTTTATCCTACTTCAATAACTTTTTCGTCACAAGTGCCCCCCTTTCCAGAACAATTTGTTGAGGCCAACATTCGGACCTTTGAAATTTGATCTAACGACTAAAGTTGTTATAACTTTTAAAGTGGGTCCTTATTTTTAGCCGTTCAATCAAATTTCAAGAGCCCAAATTGGTGGATTTGGTGGAAGGAAATCCGGAGAGATCCCTTTCCCAACATTCATGATCATCTACAACTTTGACTGGAACTAATGTCCGTGAATCTAATTCCCAGAACATGTTAAAAATTAAATAAAGGTTTAGCGTAAGTGGATGTAAAAGATGAGGTTAGAATCTAATTCATCTGCGCCCAATCGTCAAGAATATATACACAAGCGCGCGCGCGCCATATATATATATAGATGTATGTATGTATGTATATATATGTACGTATGTATGTGTGTGATTCGTATTTCTGTCTTTTTCTTGGCAACCAAACAAGTCCCAGTTCTAACTTTACCACACAACTCAACTCTTACTTTTTATTCATAAATTTTGTAAGCAAGACATACCATATTACAGATGCAGCACATTCCAAATCTTAGAAACCAATTTTTTATACACATCCAAACAACCAGACAAATTTGCATGAGCAATCTTACACAAACACACATTGAAAGCATATGGACTTATTTATTCACATGACAGGAATATCTTCCTTGGGTAACTTTATGTTATAATTTTTGTAACACGTTCATTCCTCCGGCCCGATGAACTGGTTGCAGTCAATTCCCTTGGCGGAAAATGCCTCAACCAATTTTGGAAAGAGCTTAGAGAGCATGATTTTGAACCCGGTAGAGCTTCCCTTACCGTCTTTATCTTCAGTTTTCTCGAAACCAACAGCACACCCTACTGGAGCCCCGTCCATATACGCCTTACACGCCATTAGAATATTTTGGCAGCGGCGAGTGAAGTGTTCGATCACAAGCTCCTCAAAATGCTGCATCAACGTTACTAAGTTACAACGTATACCAAACAATCATTTTGCACTACTAATTAAAACAAGGGAAAAGTAAACCAAATGAGAGTCCATAATTAAGCATTGTACCTTAGGTGGCTTATGGAGTGTGTAGAGCATGGACTTGCAAGTCATGAGGAATGCATTTTCGTTGTAGCTTACAGAGTTTTTCTCTCCCTCGGTTCTTCCTATCTGTTGATCATACCCAGCTTCATTGAAATATGGCTTGTCGTTAAGCACGAGGGCTTGAAGGGAGAGAAGAACTTGAAGAATGGTGGAGCCCCCTGGATTCCAAACTTCAGTGCCTGTGCCCGTCCATGTATTAAGAAGACTGAGACAGACCTTTCCGGACTCGTACAAGTTAGGGTTCACACGTAGCCCACCAGAAGTATAGTGTACCATCTACATAAAATTTCAAGATTGACATGCTAAATTAGCACTCACGATGATAACCATCAATGTGAAATATCAGAACTGCACATCCACATGCAAGTACTTACAGGCGGTTCATGAGGATATTCTGGTGGAAGATAAATATCAAAGAAGAAAAGCCCGTCATGATATGGAGTTCCAGGTGCACCAACAATGGCTGCTCGCAGTAGATCCATCCTTTCCTCGAAGGCGCGGACATAGATTTGTTCTGTTGATGGGTCTAAGTTAGTGTTGTTCCTCTAACGATGGTTAAAAGCACTTTGCATAAGAATATCCCTTGTGTTGCCAACTCATGTTATGAAAACCATTACAAAATAAACTTTAAAAACAGATGAAGTGCTAACCAGGCAGATCTTTCTCGAAGATGCTCCACTCTTGTTGAACCCTTTTCATCCAGCCTCTTTTCACCTACGAAGGGACCAAACGGATAAGAATTATGGCTAACCAGACTATATGAATATATGAAATGGCATGTTTATGGGAAATATCATCAAGTATCTAACCTGAGACAATGCCAACTCCTTGTTTGCACCATGAAAATGGTGGTCGGTGCAATCAGCAATTATGTGAAACTGTCTAAACTGATCTACACTGTCATTAGCTTTTGAATGTGGAATGCTATTCCCCTCAAACCTCTCCAGCTCAGTCGTTGACCGTTGCTCAGTAAAGAGGTCACAAGTTTCCGCTATTCCTTTCTCATGGGGAATCTCAGATTCATTTCCAACTTCAGAAATACAGACTGATGGAGAAGGAGCTGAAAGCGGCACAGACTCATGGGATCCAAAGAGACTCGCAGCTATGCTAGTGAAAAATCCAATGGCAGCTTGAGGAAGGAAAGAGGAACTAGACTCCCTTGTGTAATCTTTTCCAACTTTACTGACATCATCCAAATTCAATAAACCCTGAACATAAAAATGTCGTTTAGCTTGTTGTGAGGAAAATGCAGAAAAAGAGGCTTTCTCCATGGATTTCAGAGTTATGGGAAGCAATAATGTCAAGTTTTTTTTATTGAAAACCAAAACTTCAAACATTACATAAACTTCATATACACCCAAAAAACAGAGAGAGAGAGAGAGAGAGATGGCTTTACCTTTCCGTTCTGGTTAGAAGGTTGCTTCTCATTTTGAATCATCTCTCGGTTCAAGTCCTCGATGTCATCTTCTGCAGGGAGTGCAGCTGAAACTTCATGTTTGTCAAACCGGAAAATTTCATAAGGGGGCACCTGTACCAATGACCAACAAAAAACTTAAACATGATCATCAAAATTTAATGGGAAACCAAAGTCGGCAGGAAATCATTTTACACACAGAATGATGAATAAACAAACCAGTAAGGACGGCTTAAATTTATACCTTGCTTGTAATACCAGTAGCCCATCTCACTTCCACAGCTCCATCCTTGAAGCCTATAACATTTCCAATGTGAGATAGGTAGCGTTTATCAGTGTAATACTCTTGATCTCCACCACAGTTCTTGTCATCAGAAGCAGCCTCCTCGCTCATGTCAATCTTTGTGTGCGGACAGTTTTTATCCGCTTGTTCATCAAACTGATTCTGGACCAACCTGAACACACAATCGCCAAAACAGTAGGAGTAATCTGGGTGCTCAACCAGTTCATAAGCGCTTACAGTTTCCTCCAACTGCTCTCCCTTGGAGTACTTTTCTTCAGGTGCAGTGATAGTTTTCCATTGCACGTTTACTGTATGTTCCTTTGCATCCACACCCCTCACGACACCCCATTTTTGGCTGCTAGACATGTGTGGATCATCGTAAGTTCCTTTTTCCAGGACAAACTGTTCAGGCCAAAATTCATGATCATTTACAACGCTTACCGGAACTAGTGTCTGTGAATCTAATACCAAAGAGTGGCTACCATCTTGCCATGCCACATCAACTTTGGTCCTTGTCTTTATGATCACGAAGACTTCATCCCTTGAATTCGCGTTACTTCTCCGAAATCCTCTTTCTGATTTCTTGTGCTTCTTAACCATCTCACAAGTAGAAGCATTTTGAAAAGCCTGCTCCATGGCAGCTTTATCATCAGCAACTTGAAGCATACACCAGTCACCAAGCTGCCAGTTTGCATGAGAGAAACATGACAACAAATTCAATTTTTTCGAATCCAGCACACGTGGAGGAGCAGGCATTTTCGGATTGCAACCCATGAGAAAAGAGGCAAGCCAGTCAACATACACTAAACCTCCTTCCACAGAACAAACAGTTCCCTCGTCTTGATTTTCCCTCCAGTTACTGCATAACCATCTACTTGATTTGGAAGCAGTTGAGAGTCTGACCTGCACTCTCTGTCCTGGATAATATGGGTACTGAGAATCTTCAAGTAGATTTGGAGAAATAGGTAAGAGTTTCTCTTGATCCACAGCAGTGACCTCACGCTCCGTTCCATCGTCAAAGACAACAGTAACACGGTCAACCACTCTATCCACCCTTCCAAGCCATGGGCCAGAAACAACGTAGTCCCCCACCGAAATGGAGCGGATCTTTGATAGGTTCTTGGAGTTTACATCTTTTATTATATTTCCATTATCACTCTCCAAATCGACCAACATGTTAATCCCAACCACTCTGCCCATCTGTCCAGATGGATCTCTTACAGAGGATACCATGTCCCCATATACGAACCCCCTCTCAAACGCGAGAAAATCATCGATTTTCCCAATGGACGCCTCCAGGCTGGACAATATGTTACTGGCATGCCCGCCATAGAAATATTCGTTTTCCTCTTGATCCATGCTGCTATCAGTCTCACTAAAACTCTCCCAATCAGAGTCACTGAGGAGTGCATTCATCATTCAGATGCCTACGAGAACATTACCATACATCTCAGTTTGATATCAACAATATAAATTAAAGTATGAAACTATGTTTGCAAATCTATTTACATAGATGCATGTGACATGTACATGCACATATAAAACATCACTACAAGATAACACAAATGAAATCCAAAATCAAATGAGCGAAAAGATTAAAGAGTCCACGGTGCAAGGTTTCTCACCTCAACTGCAAGCTGGGAACAAATAAAATTACAAGCTTTCTAGAAAAACTTGGTTAATCTTCACTGATCTGCAAAACAAATATTCTTTGTTAAATCAATTGCCATAGAAAGCACATAAACCTCAACTTAGTACAGAAATTAGAGATATGTAGAGGAAAACATAAAAGTTAATAGATAAGAAGAGAGTAGTAAGGTCGACTACATACCTTTTACGATCCTCTGTGATTAACAGATTCACCTTACACTTTTCCAGTTGATATTTGATAGTGATATCTCCAGTAGGGTACTTTGACCACTAAAACTGGAGATCTAATGCCAAAGGAGATTTGCCCTACCGGGAGGGATAACAGGAGTCAACGAGGACTCCAAATGCCAAAGGAGATTTGCCCTACAAGGGTAACAGGAGTCAACAAAGGACTCCAAATGCCAAAGAAGATTTGCCCGATTACCCCAGGAGAACTTCCAAAAGGAGCTTTTCCCAACTGCAGAAGTATAGCGCAACTGCCAGATGAGATCTTTCTCAGAGGTTGAGGTGAAGCTTGCTGAAATAGCGAGGAGAATGCCAAAGGAGATCTGCCCCAAAGAAACACTGGAGTTTGAGATAAATTGATGACAAGTCAACAAAAGAAGCACTCTTCCCAGCCACTACGAAAGGAAGTCAACCAACGACAAAGGAACTTCAGTAACTTTTGCCAAAGGAGATTTGCTCAACAGAGCTGAAATCACTAGTTGATACAGTAAATATATCATATATATAGAGACATGCACACATGAGATGCGTTCGCGTGTCTCTTGCCAAAGGAGATTTGCCCCAAAAGGAAGCCGAAGTTTCTGTCAGGGATTATCTACTGCCAAAAGGAGGTTAGCCGAGCTCAACGAACCAACAGAATGCAGGAATGGGACCAACAAAGTTCAATCCCGCCAACAGAAGTATGTCTTTACGCTTGGTTTACTGCAATTCAGCTGAAGACTGCGTGATCGCTCAGATAGGTAGGACAACCTTCACCGAGAAAGATCTTGAGAGCTTCTCTATACAGTATGATACTTCAACAACAACACCACCACCTTTATATATATGAAAACTCTAAGGAATCTACAGAATAGCCACTTTTCAAGGCCACAAGTCATATAAGCTTCTGCGAACCTGCAAGAGTCACCTTTTCATTTTAGTGTGACAAAAAAACATAAAAAAAAAAGAACGAATAACAGTCCAACAGAGTTAAAGAGGTTCGAGAATACGAGTAAATGCCTAAAACAGAATAAGTGATATGTAATTTTAAATAAACTCAAGTTTCTCGTGTGTGAAGGGAATGCCTCAAATTGTTAAAGATTTAGCATCTTTGTAAAACAACCGAACAAAAGCACTTTAGGATCTTCTGGAGATTTTGCATCTTTAGCATGTGATCTCTTTTGTTGTCAGTGTATTATTATTACTATTTTGTTTTTGCTATCCTTTATAACAATTAACAGAAACCAGCAAAATGTATCAATTAGAGCAATAATTGAGAGAGATATGATGTTGTATGAATCCTAAGTGGGGTCGGTTGTATGAACAAGGAGCTGGATACAATAAAGCCCTTATGACACAAATTTGGGTCCGCTGTATGAATTTTAGAACACCTCTACTCTATTGAACAGCCGAGATACTTCCGTTGGATAGCAGAGAACAAAAACCATAAAGAAGCTCTTCCTCCAACAAAATCATTTGGGACACGAATCAAACATCTTTCACCAAATAGCTTCAAATCCATGCATGAAACCCATGTATCCACATGCAACCCAAAAAAGTATTAAATTTCCAGAAAAAAAAACCCACCAAGTTCCTTCTATGATTCTATCCCGTTAACCATTTCTTCCCAGAAAAAACCATAGAACAATCATGAAAACGTTAAATTGGCATACTAATCACATCACAAAATTCCAACCCAGAATTTTTTAAAACTCAATGAACAGAAAGTCCAAACTTTCTGCATACCCACCAAAACAAAAATCATATAGTCAATGAAAGCGAACATATTTGAAGACAGAACAAGCGTGTACCTACCATTAGCAGCCTCTGAAAAGCAGGGGAAACCGCGGCAAGAAAAAGTCAAGAATACAGCCAATAATACTGAGAAAACATCAGAAAGCCACCAAAAGCTGACAATAGAAAGTCGACCCAGAACACAACTCCTCGGAAGAATATCAGCCGTCTCATTTTCCCGGGAAAATCATTGGAAGGAGCTAAGGAAAAACTGGGATTCCAGATACGGAGATGCTGCTGCTGCCCGGTTCGAACCCATCCTGCGCGCCGTCTCCGAGCCTCCAAACCGTTGCTGGGCACAGTGGATTGGTGCACATGCAGAGACAGAGAGCTTGTTTTCTTCTGGATTTGGATTTTCGTGATGGTTCGCTAATTTGCAGGGGTTGGAGTCCGTGTGGGTCTGTGTCCGTGTGTGGCAGCCAATTGGATATAAGAGATACAGCGAAAGAATATACCAACAGTATCGGACACAAATACCGCTGCAAGTCGAACTACATTCACTTCATTTTCAGTCAAATTACCATTTTGCCCTTCCTACATTTTTCTGCTAGGAATGATCATGTAACCCTACATTTCCCTCAGACGTGAAGGTAGCCAAGTTGATTCAACTCCGCTCTATATGTCAGTATATCAAAGACTAAATGCTTAATTAAAGATTGTAGTTCACTTAATAGCTACTAATGTTAGTGAAAAAACACTTCAAGAATCAAATTTTAAAGAAAAATCATTAGCATACCAACTTTTAATGCTGAGTATATTTATAGCCAGGTGCAATAACAACTGAGTCTAAGATTTCATTTCAAAATTAGTGATATTTAAGGATTGTTTTATTATTATTTGAGTTTTTGAGTAACATAATTGTAAAGAGGCGAATTAGTATTTAACTCACCGCTTATGCGAAGAATATTCTTCATTTTATCAAGGGGAGATACACAAATGTGATAAACATCAGCAATGCTTTTAAGAGGATGCAAAGCACCTGTATCGGTTTATTTTAAAGAGGAGATAGTATACTACGGCAGCCGCCCATGTTTTTGGAATATTTTGTGGAGACAAAAGAAGTACGATATTCGATATGCTATGAAGCAATCAGTATAATGAAGCGCAAGAGAGGGTGAGGATCGAACTCTTGTTGTATGACTAATGTTAAGTACGTACCTCTCATCATTATATCGTGTGTGGTGTTTTATTGTTTGTCGAGGAATGTGTAGTACTGTAATACTTCACACTCATTGTATAACTAAGTTACGAGTACTAATATTATGCTCTAATGTATAAATTTGTCGTTCATTCATAGTATATCATGTGAAATTGTCAATTCACACAATAATATTTAAAAATATATATTAATACCTTACGTGTAAGTGACAACGCCTAGTATTCTTATTTGAGAAACGAATTAAGACGAACCATTTAAGAAATATTTAAGTACAAAACAAAAAGGCTACAAATATGGTTCCATCCTCTTTTGGGCAAAGTATCGAAAAAGATGAGTAAACTTTAACGCCTTGCTCTAACAGCACTAGAAATTAGACATATAGAATGCTAAAAGAACATGGGCAATGGAAAATGACTAATTCCTAACAACCATACCTTTAAACATCTACTTAGACAAACACATGTAATTTTTTATATGTTTCCTTTCTCTACTGCTACAGTCTCTAATCTCTTTTGAGGTGAATTATTTCAAAGTGTCAAATCTTTGTTGTACTTTTTGTTTTTTGTTGTTGGAGAAATTGTGGATGCATACTTGCATGCACTTTGCCATATGCATGCGTAATGTGCCCTAGATATGACTTCCAATTCAACTCCTGTGACCTCGATGGCTTGTAAGGAAGAGATTTTTTGTGTGCTAAGAACACCGAGCGAAACACCACGCGTCATTATATAATTGGAGGAAAATTTATTTTCACATGTCACTCAAGCTGCATAATGACATGTAGTATTTCACCTCATACTTTAGGTATACTGAAAAATCTCTCCAGGACCATCCATGTTCTTTCTAGGCATACCGATTTGCAGCCATCGGTTCCTTTACTATGGGCAAGCATTTAAGTAATGTAATGACTTCTATATACTCTTAATAACGGCACTTAATTTTTTTTTGTATAAAACGACAAATTAAATGAAGTAGTTAATATAGAGAGAAATAATGTGCGAAAATTATTTTTCTATTCCAATTCGTAGTGCATAAATGTATCATCTTATCTTACTATATATAGTGGGTCGTGTTTTTCCATTGTGCACCGACCTTTGAGCTCCAAATTTTGATGGTAATATAAACTGTCCCTTCCCTCTAAGATAGGAGAACTTGCATGACATGGGTTTTCCGGTACAATGCGTCTTGTACTAATAATATAAAAATATATTTCTAGCTTTTGTTTACATGTCATTGTGTTATTGACACACAATATCACCGTAACAGTGAATCTATGTTATATAAGTTATTTTCCTAGTATCACGGTACAATAACTACAGTTAGATTATTTTAGGTATATATAGAGGTGCAAGAATTTGGATCCGTTCTAATCCGACTTCAAATTTGAACGGGTTCGAGAAAGTACGAATTGAATTAGGGTGTAAACTGCGTACCAGAGCTCATGCATGCAAAGTACTTTTCTCATTGCACACACGTGTATAGCCCCAAAGCCACCAATCCATACACGCATTATAGTACCACCAATCCATACACGCATTATAGTAAAATGGCTGATGAATTTATATATACAACATTATTATAATCTGTAGCAGCTGTAATGGTACTATATGCTTGTTGAAATACTTTAGTTAACAAGAATTGACAGTCTTTAATATTACTTTACAGTATCTTGCATCCATCTTCGACAAGCCACTACAAATAATAGTAGTTGTCGACGTATGTTGGCATAAGCTTTTGGCATATGTTAGCAGAAATTGACAAATACTTCCTAGATGCTCGACGAAATGACCTAATAAAACTTTTTTGATAGATATTATGACCACATGATTTAAAAGTCCCGGTTCGACCACTGCTAGAGAGCATCTTGAGGTCGAATATTCACTCATTCCCTTTGCAATATATTTCTTTCTTCTCACGCATGCCAATTAATAAATATAGATCGGCTGGAAAATGCAATCATATATGTTCTTTAATTGGTATGTTGCGCATCTAAAAGCTTTGATAATTTAAAACCCTAGTAGTTCATACAGCGCAGGAAATGTATAATAGTGCCCCATTAGATCAGCAAGTGGAATATTATTGATTGATCAGTCGTGATCAATTCCGTCTGCACTTTTGTGTATAGTATAAATGAATTCGAATGCAATGTCATTTAGCACTGGTGTTTAAAAGAGCTAACTTGTATAGTATAGTTATACCGCCGTCACATGCCAATAATACAAAACAAAAAAGCGAAGTTAGTACATATCTTTGTATTATTAGCACGGGAAGTTATGTGACGATACTCTTATGTCATACAAGTCATTCTCAAAGTACTTATAAATGAAAAACCTTAAGTTTGACATCCATAGACCGTGAGTTTGATATTAAATTATTATAACTTGGCTCAAATGTTTCAACCTGCACACAGTGGCCCCAACGGCGTACAACAGTGGATATGGGTTTTCAGACACCAAATTTGGTGCGTCGAGCCCCATATTTCAATGTCCTTTGCATTTTTTACACAATTACACTCATTATGGCTTCGTCACCCTTCGTGTGTCGGATAACACCCTTCAATTTCGGTGTCCACGTGGATTTCGGGTCGGGGTGTGTTAGTTTGATACCAAAGCTTAGGTTTTTCAAATTTGGTCTCATGATTGCGCTGATGCCAAGTTGGTATGAGAGCTTAGGTTTTC